GGCCTGGCTGTGGAAGGACAGCAGTCACGTCCCGCCCCGCACCCCTCCGCTCCTCTCTGCCTCACTCCCCTCCAGCCACACTGGCTTCCAGGCCACCTCTCCCAGTCCAGCCTGCTCCTGCCTCAGGGCCTTTGCACTGGCTGTTTCCTCTGCCTGGACATTCTTCCCCCAGATGTCAGCATGACTCACTGCCTTCCTCCCTCACGTCTTCTTTGCTCAAATGCCACCCTCCCGGCCGTCTGTAGTTTCCACTGGCACCTCAGGCCCGCCCCTCCCTGTCAGTACTGACCCGGTGGGATCTGCCTTGCCCCTTGCCCCTTGCCCCTCAGCTCCCCTTCCTCCTGCCCATCCCGGCCACCCCCAGGGGCCTGGGAGGATTTCTGCTCCCCGCTGAGCCCTCTCTCTTCCCAGGCCTGGTGTGCAAGCCAGGCTCCCGAGCCGGCCCCGATCTGGGGGCTGGGGCAGGAGGGACGGGGCCCAGCCCGAGCCTCTGAGGGCCTGTCACGGCCAGAGTGCCAAGTGCAGGGGTCGGGGTGTGGCGAAGCCTGTGTGGCCGGAAGTGGCCGGCCCTGTCTTCTGGCCTGAATAATCTGGGAAGAAAAACCACTCCTAGGAGCTGCAGAGGGGCCGGGAGCCGGAGGGGGGGGGGGGGGGGAGGGCAGGGAGGCGGGGCCGGGGAGGCCGGGCCACCGTTCTGAGCTGTGGTCCCTGAGCGCTGGGGTTTTGGAGCAGGGGAGACACCCCCCAGCCGGTGTTGTTCGGGGGTCCGCGGGGCCCCAGCTCCCACAGCTGGGGAGGGAACCACACTCTGGACTGGAGCCCGGAGCTGCCTGGGCCCGGCCATGTCCCCGTCCCTGGGCCCATGGGGCCACCGAGCCACCAGAGGGGACCCAGGGGCCCCCAGCTCGTCTGTCTGTCCAGCACCATTCAATGGATGTGCGTACGGACAGACGGACGGACGGACTCTGGGGAAGTTGGCGGCAGGGCCGGCTCCGCACCTGGATAAAGGAGGCCGCTGCAGGACACTGGGCCTGGTCCTTCCCCGCAGGTCCCCAGTGGGCGCCCGGGTGTCCCGCCCCAGCCCCACCTCTGCCCAGCGGCCACATCTGTCCCCACCTGTCCTTCCCGCAGCCCGCCCGGGGAGCTGACGGAAGCCCAGGCGTCAGCGGCCCTCGGGCGCCCCCCGCTGGCCCCGCGGGGGAGTTCATTGCGTTTGGTTCATCTTCATCAGAACCGGGGGCTTCGGCTTTTCTTTTTTCCGGTTGTGGGGCTTGAACTCAGGGCCTGGGCGCTGTCCCTGCGCCTCGGTGCTCAGGGCTAGAGATCTACCACCCAAGCCACTTCTACTTTTTGAGTGGTTTGTTGAAGAGAAGAGTCTCATGGGGGCTTTTCTGCCCAGGCTGGCTTCAAACCATGATCCTCAGATCTCAGCCTCCCGAGTAGCTGGTGATAGGCGTGAGCCACCGGTGCCAGTTTTCCCTTCTTCCTGCAGTGAAATGGGGCAAGGACTTCACCTCTTTGAGTACCGGTGACATGGATCCCAAAAGGCACAGAGAGACTAAGGCAGCAGCCCAGGTCACACAGCTCATGAGAAGAGCCTGGTTCTGGAGCAGAGCAAGGCTGCAGCGTGCTCTCCCCGTCTTGCTCACCCCTGCACGCCCTTCCACCTTTATTTTTGTTTCTTTGTTTTGTGTTGGTACTGAGGCTTGAACTCAGGGCCTTGGCGCTCTTCCTTTTCTTCTCCTGCTCCAGGCTGGTGCTCTTCGACTTGAAGCCACAGCGCCACGTCTGGCTTTCTGCTGGTTAATTGGAATTAACAATCTCACTTTTCTGCCTTAACTGGCTTCAAAATGCCATCCTCAGATCTCAGCCTCCCGACTAGCTAGGATCACAGGCGTGAGCCACAGACGCTCAGCTCAGCGTCTACTGAGCACCTACTGTCTGCCAGACGGTCCAGGTGGGAGCAGCGGCGGCAGGCCTCGCTCCCAGCCCGCAGGTGGGGTGGAAGCGCGGATGGCGGATGACACACGGAGCAGAGCAGGTGTTTATCAGCTGTGATAACCTGGCGATAAGCCTGCGCTGCGTCCCCGATCGCACGCCCAGGTGACGGGAGGGCAGCCACAGGGGAGTGAACGCTACCTTACCTGGCCTTTGCCTCTAGACAATGGCTTTTACCTCAAATGCGTCTTAGAAGGGAGCGTGTCACATGAAGCCAGCGTCAAGGGTGGCTGTGTCCTGGGGTGGGGTGACGTGGTGGTCCGGTCGGCCAGTCCTTGCCAGCTGGCACGTCTGCCTTGGGGACCCCAGATGACCGCAGCCGGGGCTGTGGACGGTGTCCCAGGCGCCCAGCCCTGGCTGTGCCGGGGCATTGTTCCCCAGCTTGGGCCATGGGCCGCTGACATGGTGGGCGCAGCAGGGAACGCCAACCCCCCCCCCCCGCCCTCCTGCCACCCCGCAAGCAGCCGGCAGGGTGGACAGGGAGGGCCAGGCTGGGGCAGGGCAGGGGCGGCAGGGGGGGTGGGGGTGGGGGTGGGAGACTGGCTCTTAAAGGTAGAGGGCAGCCAGGTGGGGCTGATGGCTCAGGCCTGTCACCCTAAGTACTCAGGAAGCTGAGATCTGAGGATCACGGTTCAAAGCCAGCCTAGGCAGGAAAGTCCGTGAGACTCTTTATCTCCCATGAACCACCAGAAAACCAGAAGTGGCGCTGTGGTTCAAGTGGTAGAGCACTTGCCTTGAACTGAAGAGCTGAGGGACAGCGCTTAGGCCCAGAGTTCAAGCCCCATGACCGACAAATTAATTAATTAATTGAAGGTAGAGGGCAGCCAGGTATGGCCAGTGGCTCAGGCCTGTAACCTAGCTATCAGGAGGCTGAAATAGGAGGATCGCAGTTCAAGGCCAGCCCGGGCAGGAAAGTCCGTGACACTTCCATTAACCAGCAAAATGCCAGAAGTGGAACTGCGGCTCCTGTGGCAGAGCGTCGGCCTTGAGGAGAGAAGCCAAGTGAGAAGGTGAGGCCCTGAGTGTAACGCTGGTACTGGCAGCCGGGCGCCGGTGGCTCACGCCTGTCATCCTAGTCACTCAGGAGGCTGAGATCTGAGGATCAAGGTTCAAAGCCAGCCCGGGCAGGAAAGTCCATGAGACTCATCTCCCATAAACCACTAGAAAACCAGAAGTGGTGCTGTAGCTCAAGTGGTAGAGCGCTCACGTTGAGCTGAAGAGCTGAGGGACAGCGCCCAGACCCAGAGTTCAAGCCCCACGACCAACAAAACAACAAAACCCAAAACAACGCCAGTACCGGCACAACGAAACAAAGGCAGAGGGCCACAGCTGGCCACAAGCCCACGGCGCTGCATAGCGCAGCCGCGGGCGGGGGCGTGGCCCTGCAGTGGCGGGAGGAGCCATCCTTCCTGCCATGGGCTTCAGGGCAGCCCACAGGGTGGAGGCTGAAAATGCACCCACGGAGCCTCACGTTTCCCTGCCTCCGAGTGCCACGGCCAGCACAGCTGCGCATGGCAGCCTGCCCAACCACCTGGAACCACTGGGCTTTATGTGGTTCTACAGGCTCACACCTGTAATCCCAATCCCAGCTACTCAGGAGGCTGAGAGCTGGAGACTTTGGTTTGAGCCAGTGCTGTGGTCACTCGTGCCCCGGAGTGGGCAGCGCATGCTAGGCTGAGGCTTGGGCGGGACAGTGGTGACCTGAGGGGCTGCCGAGGCCTCCTCGCGCCTGGCAGCACGGCCCGTTGTTTCCAGCCGCTCATTCTGAAGCCACTGGGCACTATGCGGGTGCAGGGGCTGGCCGCCCCGCGCTGCCCTTCCCAGGCAGAGGGGCAGGGAAGGGGGTCTGGGGTGTGGCCTGTGGCCGGCACTGACACCAGAGCAGGCCCAGGGCCAGGCCCTCGGCTGGGAACTTAAATCCTGGGTGAAGCAGTGGCGAGCCCCCAGCTCCACAGTGGGTGGCAGCGCCCACCAGAATTAGGCGACGACTTCACTAGTTTTTTCCTTTTGCAACCAAGACTAAGTAAGCCCAGCCAGTCAAGAGCTGTTTTTAGTTTTGTTTTGCCAGTCCTGGGGCTTGAACTCAAGGCCTGGGTCTTGTTCTTGAGCCTCTTTGTGCTGTCTAGAGCTCTGCTCTACCACTTGAGCCACAGCACCACCTCTGGCCTTGTCTGAGTAGTTTACTAGAGAGAAGAGTCTCATGGAGTCTGGCATCTGTGGCTCAGGCCTATCATCTGAGCTACTCAGGAGGCTGAGAGCTAAGGATTGTGGCTTGAAGCCAGCCTGGGGTCTCATGGACTTTCCCACGTGCGCTGGCTTCAAATCACAACCCTCAGACCTCAGCCTCCTGCGCAGCTAGGAAGACAGGCCTGAGCCAGCAATCCCAGATAGGAAAGAACTTTTATTGTATATTTAACAACCCAAATCCTACAAAGCAACAGAACCAAAGAACCTTTTTAGACAGAGTAGCAAATCAATCTGAATCTGTGGTCCAAATCAGCCCATTTTTGTGTGTGAATGCCAATGCTGCACTTGAACTTGGGGCCTCATGCTCTTGCTTGGCTTTTCCACCCACGAGTTACAGCTCCACTCTGGCTTTTTGGTGGGTAACTGAAGATAAGTTCACAGCCTTTCCTGCCAGGCTGGCTTTGATGCATGATCCTCAGATCTCAACCTCTAGCGTAGCTAGCATGACGGGCGTGAGCACCAGCGCCAGCCTGGAACCTACTTTCAGGGCAGATTTCAAAACCAAAGCAGCTTCCGCCCTCACCTGGAATGGCAGGAGGAAGCGAACACAGCTCGGTAAATATTAATTCACACTTATTATTTCCACCCAGGCAATGTTGTGACGTCAAAGGCTGCCGAACACTGCTGAGAAACTTCCCCGACGGGATGTTAGATCCTCACCCCTAGATTTCCCCACAAAAACATCCACGAAAAGAGACACTGGTTTCCAGCCGTTGTAGCTGCCGCTTCAGATGCCACACACACGAAACCCTTCAGAACACGATGAACTGCCTTTATTTCGGTTCGCATCCGCCCAGCGATTAGTGGTCCTAACAGAGAGGGCCGCCCCCCCCCCCCCCACAACCCCCCACCTCCCGTGTTGCCCAGCTTCCCCCAAGCCGGCAGAGGGCCTCAGGAGCAGCAGTGGGGGGGGTGCCCAGTGGGGGGCTCCCACTGACTCGGTGGACCCGAGGGGTGGGCCGGGCCTGTGCAAACCTTCCACATTTCAAAGCAAAGCGGTGGGGACCGGGAAGGAGAGGACGTGTGCTTCGGGCCTCCTGTGGCCGTCCCCATCCCCGGGCTGAGCTGGGGCAGCTGCCACCAGGAGGTTGTCACCTACAGACCCGGAGCTGAGGGCTGGCTGAGGCGGCGGGGTGGGGGGGCGGGCGTGGGGCAGGCCTGGCTGCACTGAGGAGGCGTCAGATGCCGGCCTCATCTGGTAGCTGGGGGTGTGGGGCAGCAAGCGGGTGGAGGAGAGGAAGAAAGCGGCCCCCCCCAGCGCAGGGAGAGGGAGGGTGGGAGCGCGTCCAAGGGGCTGGAGGGCTGCAGCGCGCCTCGGCCGCGTGGGGCTGGAGTGGGGCGGGAGGTCTGCAGAGAAAGCCGGGCCGCAGGGAGAGCCTCACACCACGCGTCCCAGGCTGCATCTACTCTCAGGAGCCACCGTGCTGGGGGGCCTTGGGGGACAGGGACTGGGAGAGACCCCGGCGTGCCAACACGGAGAGATGAGGGGAAAAGGAATGGGGAGGACAGGAGCAGGGAAGGGGGGTGCACCCCAGACGTGCCAGCATGGAGGGCAGGACGTGGGGAATAGGAACGGGAAGGGGCGAGCACACCCCAGGAGTGTCAGCATGAAGGGCGGGGGCGGGAACAAGAGCAGGGGACAGAATGGGGGAGGGGGGCAGACGTCGGGTGCACTGGCAGGGAGGGAGGCAGGGAGGAGGGGGGCGCAGGACAGGACTGGGGAGGGGGGCAGAGACCCCAGCATTGCAGCAGCAGTGATTGTGTGCCGAGTCTGTTCACAGTTGAGTCAGCAGCGCCCGCCGGTCAGCGCGGGGTCAGCTCGGCTGCGTCCAGTCCCGGGCAAGGAGGACAGTGGTTACATTGACAGATGGTCTGTTATAGCACAACTCATATATTTCAAACGGACAGAATTAGTATCATGTACAGTGTCTTAGGATGAACTGCCTCGAATGGGAGCTTCCTTTCCAGTACTTGAAGGTCTACAGACGGATCTAGAAACTGACTACTGTGGAGGATGGAGGCCCGGAAATCGAGGGGCGGGGCTTTCAATTAGTTGCTGTAACACTGTCCTTCCGGCGGCTGGGGGAGTTTCATGTTTTCTTTAGACATCATCAGGCGCCGCAGCTCTTGCAGGACGACTTTGATGCTATAGGAGTTCTGCCACTTTGCTAGCACGGATATGGCTCTTGGGTCCACCTATGAAGAGGAAAACAATCCCAGTGAACTCAAGCTCTCTGCAAAGGCAGTGCATGCAGGGGGTTGGCACCGTGCAGACGGCTGCAGCTGCTGTGCACCCCGGGAGCCATGCCGCAGCCCTGGGAACAAGCTGCAAGGGCTCAGCAACAGGATCAGGTCTGAAGCCCTTCTGGCCCCAAAGGTCAGGAGTGCTCATAGCTGGTGCTCTACCACACCTGAGACAAACCTTCACTTCAGGAACTTTCCTGTTTGGGCTGGCTTTGAACCAGGATTCTCAGATCTCAGCCTCTGGAGTTGTGAGGCTTACAGGCCGCTGGTGCCTGGCAAGTCTGGTATTTTGCAGCAATCGGACTTCACGTTTTTGTGTTAGGTGTTTGGCCTATACAAATGAGTTAAACGAGCAGCAGGCACAGGCAAGCACTTCACCTCTGTGCCTCAGTTTCCTCATCCTGCCTCGGGTGCTGAGAGACTGAATGGGCTCACATCGTAGTGACTAGGAGACACGACCAGAGCCAAGCCTGCCTGAGACACAGCCCACCGCACCCCAGCCCCTGCGACGCGGAGCAGCCCACGCCCAACGCCCACAGGAGGACGGAGAGCCGCCAGAGGACAGGGAAGTGGGAGACAAAACCAACTTACCACTCCATTAGAACTATTAACTCCGTTCATATTAGTTTTTGTTACAAATCTTACAAAGGGGGGCGCTTCTGGGTACTTAGGTCCACATTCTATTTTAAGGCTGTATATTCGGTTTTCATAAATTGTCTGGAAAAGAAGAGGACAGAGATGTCAGGTGTCATGAGCAACAAAGCAGTGTGTGTTGCCCTGTCCCCTGCCCGCACAGGCCACCCGCCGCACCTCCCCCCAGCCAGGTCCCCCCACACACCAGGATAGGGGCCGGGCATGTTCTCCACTCAGCACAGCCACTTGCCCCCCCCCCCCACACCACCTCTGGCCTGGGGCACAGACCTGCACTCAATGCCCGTCCACGGTGCACAGCAGTGCGGGTGAGGCAGGACGGCGGCCCCTCCCGCACACTTCCCTCTGCCAGCCATGACGGACGGCCCTTGGTGGTGAAGGCAGAGGCCAAGGTCTGGGCCTACACGGCCAGAACCAGTCCTTAAACCACCAACGGAGCCATTGTGGAGAATCAAGTAGGTCCAAGACCACACACACCCAACCTGTCCTGTAACATCCAGGCTGCTCCCCCCGCTCAGAGCGCCTCCAAGGGCCCTGGACTCGGGACTTCCTGTCCTGCACGAAGTCACCCTGTCATCATTTGTGTCTGTTTCAGGTTCAAAGGTGACCCAGGTTCCTCTGAGACCGATGGCATGGCAACCGCCCCACGCACAGGCGCCACCTAGAGGTCTCCAGGGCGACTTTCAGCCCTGCCATCACAATGCCAGGGTGGGAAGTCACTCGGCACACACTCAACCAACTCTATTGCCCCATGACAAGCTAGCACACTGCCTCAAATCTGCAGCCTCTGCCTCCAGGGAGACGGCAGGGCTCCGCTAGCAGGTTCCCTCAAGGATCGAGCTTTGCCCAAGCCCATCCTCGGCTGCTTCGGTCTCCAAGAAGCCAGTATGCAAGCTGGAGGCCGTGGCTCATGCCTGTCATCCTAGCTACTCAGGAGGCTGAGATCTGAGGGTCGCGGTTCAGCCAGCCCAGGCAGGAACATTTGTGGAACTCATCTTGAATCAACTACCAAAAAGCCCTAAGTGGAGCTGTGGCTCAAGAGGTAGAGTTAGCCTTGAGCAAAAAAACTCAGGGACAGTGCCCAGACCCTAAGTTCAAGCCCTAGGACCAGCACCAAATAAATAATTTTTAAAATGTGAGGGATTTGACCCAAGTGCACTCTAGGTATGCATGAAAATACCACAATGCAACCCCTTTGTACCACACACACACACACACACACACACACACACACACACACAGTTAATGAGACCTCATCTCAACAATAAATGCTGAGCCTGAGGGTTTGCCTATGGTATTATACACGGTGACAGAGTGCACAGGCCGTCTAAGAGCTCCTCTGACCTGTGGATTAGACGCAGCACAGACGCGGGTGGATAGGTGAGGGTCTGTGGTGTCCCTGGGAACCACACCAACATCCCACAGCCTGACATCCCAAAGTAAACACACAGGGGCGGAGCCAGGCTCCTGCACACTGCCTGGTGCTTCTGCTGGGATGCCCCAGTTGGGCTGTCAATCATCTTCCAGCTCCAGCCCATGAGTGGCAGAGCTGAGGACTGTCCTCTGCAGGGGATCCTTCTGTCCCCCTTCTACCTGATCAGCCTCTGCATGGAAACACTCTGGCTGACTCTAGCCTGGCTTGGCGCTGTGTCTCCAGGAGGCACCTGAACACCTGGCTCCCTGTGGAGGAGCTGTTACATGCGGCCCAACAGCCAAGACCAGACAACACCTCGGCAGCAACAGACCAACAGATAAAGACAGACACTCACACACAAGTACGTGCACCTGATGGAATATTATTCAGCCTTATATAAACAAGAAAAGCTACCCTCCCAGTTGTACTGACAAAGACAAACATGGAGGGGCCGGGAATGCAGTTCAGTGGTAGAGTGCTTGTCTTGCTTGCATGCATGAAGCCCCGGGTTCAATTCCTCAGTACCACATACACAGAAAAAGCTGGAAGTGGTGCTGTGGTTCAAGTGGTAGAGTGCTAGCCTTGAGCAAAAGGAGCTCAGGGACAGTGCCCAGGCCCTGAGTTCAAGCCCCAGGACTAGAAAGGGGGGAAAAAAGACAAACATGGAGGCATGACACTAAATGACAAATGCTACACGGTCTCACTCCCGTTTGCAACTGTAAAGGCTGAACTCAGAAACAGTAAAACAGGGTGTGTGTGTATGCATGTGTACACACACACATACACACGTATACATGCAAGCCAGAGCCAGACCTCAGGCCAGAGAGCCCAAGCTTAGAGTTACAAGATGCTAACATGCGGGATGTGCAGCAGACTGGCCAGCTGGTACTGGATCACTCACATGAAGCCATCCTCGGTGAACGCCATGAGGAGGAAACCGACTACAGAAGCCGATGCTTTGGCCAGCACACCACTACACAATGCACATGAACATAAACGGTCACACTAGTGGCTTACTAGCGCTGCCATGACGGTGTCAGGAGGGCTGGGGGAGGGCCTCACACTGGCCGCTGCACACGCAGTGGCGCAGCCTCTTGGCAAACAATCTACTCAAAGCAGTAAACAAGGGCTGGGAATGTGGCTCAGTGGCAGAGTGCTTGCCTAGCATGCCTGAAGCCCTGGGTTCGATTCCTCAGCACCACATACACAGAAAAAGCAGCAAGTGGCGCTGTGGCTCAAGTGGTAGAGTGCTAGTCTTGAACAAAAGCAGCTCAGGGGCAGTGCCCAGGCCAGGCACTTGAATTCAGGGTTCAAGCCCCAGGACTGACAAAACAACAACAACAGCAAAAACGTTAAACAGTTACCATGCTGGAAGTAGTTACTTAACTACTTAGGAGGCTGAGACCTGTGATTTGAAGACAGCCTAGGAAGAAAAGGTTGAGTCTATCTCCAATTAGCCAGCAAAATGTTATACTGGAGTGCCAGCCATGAGCAATAAACTGAGCAAAAGCTCAAGGCCCTGAGTTCATGTTGGGTATTGGTATGTAAACACACACTCTGTCTCTGTCTCTGTCTGTCTCTCTCTCTCACACACACACACATCCCCCAACAATTAATAAACCAACAGAATGTGGCATTTCCACACTGAAACACTTTGATCACGAAGAGATGCTGCAAGGTGAGCTATGCTAATTAAGGGCAGCAGGACAAACACAGCACCAGCTCTTCCACTCAATGCAGTCCTGAGGAGGTAGATTTGGACCCGAAAGCAGATCAGAGGCTCCATCTCTGGAGGGGGTTGGGGAGCAACACCAACGGAGTGGGTTTCTCCTTGGCATCATGAAATGTTCTGGGATTAGCAATGGTGAAGGTTTATCCTAAATCAGGTGTAGTAGAACATGACTGCAATCCCAGCGCTTAGGAGGCCCAAGCCAAATTTAGGGAGATTCCTTCTCAACAAAACAGCAGGGCACACTTGCCTGGCCTGTGCAAACACAAAGCTCTGGGTTCCAAATACAGCACTATTTAAAAAAAAAAAAAAAAAAAAAAAAGACACCCTAGAGGCTGAAGATTACATTTAATAAAGCTCATATTAAAAAGATAGGCCAGGCGTTGGTGATTCACCCTGTAATCCCAGCTATTTAGGAGGCTGAGAACTGAGGATCACGGTTCAAAGCCAGCCCGGGTAGGAAAGTCCATGAGACTCTTATTTCCAATAAACCAGCAGAAAACTGGAAGTGGTGCTGTGGCTCAAGTGGTAGAGCACTTGCCTTGAGCTGAAGAACTCAGGGGCAGTGCCCAGGCCGAGTTCAAGGTCCACAACTGACCAAAAAAAAAAGAGAGTTGACTCATGCCTCTAATCCTAGCTACTCAGGAGGGTGAAATCTGGAGGAACATGGTTTTGAGGCCAACCAGGGCAAGACATTCCATCTTCAAATTAATCAGCAAAAATCAGGGATTGGAGGTGTGACTCAAGTAGTAGAGCAAGTGAAAGCATAGTGGTAGGTACATTCCTGTAATCTCAGCACTCAGGAGGTTAAAGTAGTTGGAGGGTCACTAATTCAAGGCTAGCCTGGACTTCAAATCAAAACCCTGTCTCAAAACAAAACAGAGGTGGACTGGAATGACAGCTCAGAGGTAAAGCCTGCCTAGCAGGCACAAGATCTTGATTTTAGTTTCCAGCAACACTCACAACACTTATCTCTCACTATCTCCCCCCACCTAAAAAACAAATAAAAAACCACAAAAAACCAGACATAAGAGCAGCGCCTTCCCGTCAGGACCTCTCCCTTGTAAAGAGATAAACCCAAGCAGTCTTAGGTAGACAGAGGATTTTAAGTACACAATTTGTGGCCTTACACACTGGTTGGTGGTCTGCCCCACACCTGCCCCAGCCCCAGGCACTTCCAGAGCCTGGGGCGGAGATAGGGGTGGGGCTAGAGGAAGAGGTGCAAGCATCCACAAGAAACCAAAGGAAGCTATCTTAGGAAGAAGTTCTTTAGAGACAGCGAAGAAGTGGTCCTGACAAAGGCGGCCATTAGCATTGAACAGATTCAGAACCACCCAGTTTTCATAGGGAAGGAGGAGAAAGAAAGGAGCAAAAACAGAACCCCCTAGCCAGGCACGGGTGGCTCAAGCCTGTGATCCTAGCTACTCAGGAGGCTGAGATCTGAGGATCGAGGTTCAAAGCCAGCCCAAGCAGCAAAGTCTGTGAGACGCTTATCTCCAATAAACCAGCAGAAAACTGGAAATGGCTCTGTGACTCAAGTGGCAAAGTGCTCGCCTTGAGCTGAAGAGCTGACGGACAGCGCCCAGGCCCAGAGTTCAAGCTCACGACTGAAACAAAAACAAAAAAACAAAAACAAAAAACCCCCCAAAGACCAGAGCCCCACGACCATCACACAAAACTATTCGGCAACAAAACTGACTTAAACATTAAAGGTAAAAGTGGCCAAATGCCTGGAGCCGACACCTATAATCTCACTCCCAATCAGCTAGCAAGATGCCAGGCTGGAGGTGTGGTTCGAGTGGCAGAGCACCAGCTGAGTAAGTCAGCTACGTAAGCACCACCAGAAAAAAGGCACAGGCAGTCACTGGGCACGAGCCGACGCCGTCTCAGAAGAGGGCTGTGGAGCTCAGGACACTCCTGCGCCTGTCCAGACCTCACTGCACACCGTGCCCGGCCCTGCCCTCCCCAGGGTGCAGGCACGGATTGGAGCCTAGCCCGAAACCCCAGGAAGGAACAAAGCCTGTGAGGCCGGAAGGGAATACACCAAGTCAGCCCTGTGCCCCCAGGCAGGGCCTCCAGCAATCTCTCCTGTGGCCTCTGGGTCATTCTACAACTGGGACAGGAAAGCGTCATCATTATCTGCTTGTAAAGCCCGCAGTGTGCTGCGGCGGACGGTCCTCCCTACGTGACAATGGGCAGGCGACCACATTTTGAGACGGCCTCCTCATCTGTCACACGGGTTGCGGTGACCCAACAGCGCCAGGACCCACAGGAAGCGATTGACACTTCCTGCGTGTTTCCTACGGGCCCTCAGAAAGGTGGCTGGCACTGAGGCCTGGGGCAGCAGGCTGACCGCTGCGGGCCTCGGCTGCGGTGAGTTAGGACACTGAAAGGATGGATGGCGAGCACGGGGCGCAGCCTCCCTCCTCGCGTTCACCTGGTGCCCGGTGGCAGCTCTGCCAGCACCAGGCGCTCAGTGGTGAGCCGCTCGCTTTGTTCTAAACTACACCACGGGCACAGCGACCTCGGGCCGTGGCCCCGACGGTCACGGAATGTCGCAGTGGAGTCTTCACGGGCAGGGTGCTTACCATTCGAGGGCTTAAACAGCATCAGAGGAGGCTCAAATACACACAGTGAAAGTGCTCAGACAGAGCAGGCACATGTGAGAGAGTACAGCCCGGGCGTGCCCGCGACAAGCGCCCGGGGTAAAGGAGGCACAGTGCATGTAAGACATTGACATTATAGCCGCAGCTCGACGCTTACTCTTGGAGGCCCAATTATCATCCCTGTCCATCTGGTAAGGGTCATGTCTTCGTCATCTTCCAGACCCCAGCTAACTGTGCCATCTCCTACTCCCTTCTGGCCTTCTTCGAGTTCTTCCAACAGGCGGAAATTGCGAGGGACTTTTACTCCTAAAATAAATGGAGAGAAATTCAAGATACTGGCAACTCCAAGAAACTCCATAGCCCAGAGCAAGCGGCTGGGTGTGGCGCCTGAGACCACGCCACAGTGCCGACACCACCACCATGCTGTTCGGCTGTTCACAGAGCTACGGGACAGGACGTGACCAGAGCAGCCCACCCTGGACGACTCTGCCAAGTGTCCCCGCGCCGCAGGCTGCCTGGCTCAGTCCCGCCTGAGGCCACCACCACCATCTGCAGCGCTCACCGGTGCACCCTGGAGCAGGCTCTTTTCTGGGCGCTCCTGAGCGCCCACATCTGAGGCATAGGCAGCTGTGGCAGACAGATGCGCAACGGCAGCCCCTTTCGCATGTGTAGGGCAGTTTCTCTGCTGACGGTGACTGCTCGGAGCAGGGTGGCCGGTCCTCAGATCTGTTTGCACAGCCGGCCAAGAGGCTCCAGAAAGCAAGGCGGGAATGCACAGTACACCGCAGGCCACAGAACTCAAGTTCAGTTGAGCGCCTGGGCATCCTGGGTTGTGGGAAGACAAGAGGCCACTTTCTCCTGGGCCTGCGCATCGGACACTACCCCTAGCCACTTTACTAGCCTCTCCCACTTCCCCGGCACCTGCATCACACTCTGTGCATCCAGACTGGCTACTGGCTTGCCAGCCTCATGCCAAGTCCCCTCTGGGCAGGCTCTAGAAGCAAGTGGAATGCAGCAGACAACTGTGGAGAGGGGGTCTGAGCACACTAATCGCAAGGGAATAGATCTGACCCTCTCTCTGGCGCTGAGAGAGATGCAGTGCCTGCCCCCACCGAGCTCTGCAGCGCATCACTGGATGGGAGAATGCGGAAAGCAGCAACGCGGCCTAGGGAGGGGGAGGGGTGTATTGCAAGAGGACCGAGGGGAGTGGGCCTGAGGCAGAGGCAACAGTAGGAAGGAGGCCGTGGTACAGCTAAAGGCATGGACAAGACAGTGGGCAGAAGCAGATCAGGAATTCCATGCTTCCCAAGTGACAGGAGCTACTGGAGTTTTGAACCAAGTCTCACAGCTCCCGCTCCTTGGCTGCGTTGTACAGGGCGCTCCAGAATGCCGGCGGTGATGGTGGCAGATATGCAGGGCAGTGGTAGAGTGGCAGCTGTGAGTGGTGAGTGATAAAGCTAAGGGACAGCATCCAGGCCATGAGTTCAAACCCCAGTATTGATACCAAAAAAAGTGGGGGCGGGGGAGCAGGTCAGAGTAAAGGTTACACTAGCTCCACAAATACGCATGAACAAACTTTAGAGAAAAATCGAAGCCAGGTGCCAGTGGTGCACGCCTGTAATCCTAGCTACTCAGGAGGCTGAGATCTGAGGATTGTGGTTTAAAGCCAGCCTGGGCAGGATGGTCCGTGAGACTCTTATCTCCAATGAACTTCAGAAAACCGGAAGTGCAGCTGTGACTCAAAGTGGTAGTGCTAGCCTTGAGCAAAGAGCTCAAGGATAGCATCTAGGCCCAGAGTTCAAGTCTCATGACCACACACACACACACACACACACACACACACACACACACACACACAGGGAAAAAAAACCTGACTTTCTATAGAGGGTCAAGAACACAGATGTGAAAAAGCTAGCCAAGTGCTCCACCACTTACCCCCACCCAGAGCCTGTCCCTGCCTAGCAATCTAGCTGAGCTAAGTCACACAGGGCCACCAGCCCTGCTTGTGCTGGTGACAAGGGAGGGAGAGGAACGGAGGTAAGGCTGGTCTAGAGAGCACGCAGGCTTCTTACTGACAGGCTGTGTATGTGCTACCGAACCCTCCATCAGCACTGTCTCATCCAGCAGAGAACCAAACACAGGCGAACCCTCTGCTCTACCAGCCTTGAAGCACCACTCTCCAGTCCTCAGAGCCACAGAGCTCACGGGCCCAGCAGCCTCCTGGCGGTTCAATACCCTTACCTATTCACTCTGGCTCTCGTGCCAGGGCACCCCGTCCCATCCCTGCCATACTGTGGGGTCTGTTCTCCTAGCCCAGCTTACTGGCTTCCTCCTAGCCCAGCTTACTGGCTTCCTCCTAGCCCAGCTTACTGGCTTCCTCCTAGCCCAGCTTACTGGCTTCCTCCTAGCCCAGCTTACTGGCTTCCTGTGCTAGAATTCCAGACCCTAGCCACCAGGTTCAGGGTCCCAACCTCTGCCTCTGGGGAGTCTTGACCCAACCCACAGCTCAAGTCAGCTAAAGTTACCAGTGTGCATTTCCAATCAGATGGCACTAATGACGGGTTTGCCCCAGCCCTCCTCCAGAGGAAGCAGCTGGGCCTGCTTCACACCCACTTCAACGTGAGCAGAGCCGCCCTCTCACAGGCTCCCTTCAGGCCTCGGATGGCACAGCTCTCCACCCTCACCCGCAGCAAGGCACAACCCCCCCCCCCCCCCCCCGGTTGGCCAGTCATTTCTGGAACTCCTGCTCGCTGCCACCGCTAGCCGTGCTAGCCTGTGTAAGCCCTGCAGCTCTGAGATCCAAACTGGGGACTCCTCCACAGCCGCCAGCGATTGGGATCCCCTCTCTCACCGGGTGTCTTCTCCCACCTGATCAGCTGACCAGAACCAGGCTCCACCTGCTTCGTCCACTGCCACGTGAGCAGTGACCTACCCACTCAGTCTCCTTACCCAGGCTGGCTTTGAACTACCCTCCTCAGATCCCAGCCTCTTGAGTAGCTAGGATTACAGGTGTAGGCCATTGACACGGGCTTCGGGTGAGCATGTAACTACCTCCTGGGATCAAACACTGGTACCATGTAATTGGGATAGCTAAGGTGGTTTTTTTGTTGTTGTTGTTTTGGTTGTGGGGCTTGAACTCTGGGCCTGGGCGCTGTCCCTCAGCTCTTCAGCTCAAGGCTAGTTGTCTACCACTTGAGCCACAGCACCACTTAGGGCTTTTTCTGTTTATGTGGTGCTGAGGAATCAAACCTACAGCCTCATACATAGGAGGCAAGCACTCTACTACACTTTGCCACCTTTCCAGTCCTCTAAGGTTTTTTGACAGAAGTAAAACTTGGAAGGTTAGAATTATTTTAATGAAGAAAAACTGGCTCACCACCCAAACTACACCACTAGAAAATGAAATTTGTTTTGTAAGATCCATTCTAAGCCAGGTGTTTGTGGCTCATGTCTGTGATCCTAGCTACTCAGGAGGCTGAGATCTGAGGATTGTGGTTCATGCCAGCCCAGGCAGAAAAGCTCATGAGTCTCCAATAAACTACTCAGAAAAGGCTGGAAAGAGGTGCTGTGGCTCAAGTGGTAGAGCACCAGCCTTCAGCAACAAGAGGCTCAAGGACACCACTCAGGCTTTGAGTCCAAGCCTCAGGACTGGCAAAAACAAAAACAAACTCACTCTAAACCACCTGAGAAGCTGCATATGAGGTTGGTGTATCAACACGTTCTTTTTATTTTTGTCGGTAGTGGGGCCTGAACTCTGGGCCTGGGCGCTGTCCTTCAGCTCTCCAGTCAAGGTGAGCACTCTACCACTTGAGCCACAGTGCCAATTCCGGTTTTCTGATAATTCATTGGAGTTTTCTGGTGGTTTATTGGAGTTAAGAGTCTAACAGGGCTGGGAAGGTGGCTCAGTGGTAGAGTACTTGCCCTGCATGCATGAGGCCCTGGGTTCGATTCCTCAGCACCACATAATCAGAAAAAATGAGAAGTGACACTGTGGCTCAAGTGGTAGAGTGCTTACCTTGAGCTGAAGAGCTGAGGGACAGTGCCCAGGCCCAGAGTTCAGGCCCCACAAAACACACACACACACACACACACACACACACAAACACACACACACAGTGTCTAACAGACTTTCCTGCTGGGGCTGGCTTTGAACATGGATCCTCAGATCTCAGCTTCCTGAGTAGCTAGGATTGCAGGAGTGAGCCACCAGTGCTCGGCAGTGTATCAACACTTTCTTACAAAGCAAAGGACATTTCTATCTGGATAAGGCTTAATTCTGGAACTTCAGATTTGTATCTGCTTCAGAGACATAAATCCAGATATAGATGAAGGTTGGAGATCTGTCAATCTGAGGATAAACCAGTTACAGCCAAATGGAGAGGGTCATTCTCCCAAATGGAGAGGGATAATTGAAAATCATGACAACTCAACCCAGCGATAATGAAGTCAATTATGCTAGAGAGCAGCATCAGAGTTGACCACAGAGCCTGTACCAGCACATCTCACTCCTCTTAACCCAAATGTTAAGATTTCTGACCCTCTGTGTTTCTGACACCGAAACAACCGGAAGAAGAACGTCAAGTGCAGGCTAAGGAAAGGGGACTCATGTCAACCCTGCAAAGCCAGGGGAGCTACAGGCTCTGTAAGAGCTGGCAGGGTGCAGGGAGACTACCCAACAGCAGGTGCAACTAAACAGGCTGTGGCTATTAAATTAACTATGGGCCAGAAACCAGTGGCTCACTCCCACAAACCTAGATACTCAGGAGACAGAGATCTGAAGACTGTGATTCAAAGCCAGCCAAGGCAGGAAAAGTCTGAGAGTGTTATCTCAAATTAAGCACCAAAAAGACCCAGAAGTGTGAAACGGTGGCTCAAGTGGTAGAGCACTAGCTATGAGTATAAAAGCTCAGGGCCCTAAGTTCCAGCCTCAGGACCAGCATATACACACACAAAAATCAGCCTGTTTTTTTCTCTTGGCTAAATATAATTAAGTTAAAAGTCAGCAGGTGGGCTGAGAAGGTAGCTCAGTGGTAGAATGTTCACCTAGAATGCATGAAGCCCTAGGTTTGATTCTTCAGCACCACATAAACTGAAAAAGCCAGAAGTGGCACTGTGGCTCAAATGGTAGAGTGCTAGCCTTGTGCAAAAGAAGCTCAGGGACAGCGCCCAGGCCCTGAGTTCAAGTGTCAGGACTGGCAAAACAAACAAAAAGTCAACAGGTAGCCGGGGGCCGGTGGCTCAGGCCTGTAATCCTAGCTACTCAGGAGGCTGAGATCTGAGGATCGAGGTTCAAAGCCAGCCCAGGCAGGAAAGTCCGTGAGACTCTTATCTCCAATAAACCACTAGAAAACCAGAAGTGGCGCTGTGGCTCAAGTGGTAGAGCGCTCGCCTTGAGCTGAAGAGTGCAGGGACAGCCACCAATCCCAGAGTTCAAGCCCATGACCAACTGGGGGGGGGGGGGGGGGGGGGGGGAGAATCAACAGGTGTAAGATATTACAAAGAAAACTCTGACAGCCAGGTTCAAAAGGCTGGTCTGATAGTTTTATTCCGTATCTTAATAAGACACTTCAACATAACAATAAAAAACATAGCAACACACTTAAATATTTGTGGTACAGGATGATTTTGAAAGCCAGATGTGGTGTTGCACACAGGATTCACCCAAGAACCAGAAGATGAGGCAGATCTCAGGTTAGAGGCCTGTCTGGAATACATAGGAAGATACTAGCTTCCAAGACAGAAAAAAAAAGCCCTTTAAAACAGCTAAGGGGGGCTGGGAAGGTGGCTCAGTGGTAGAGTGCTTGCCTTGCATGCATAAGGCCCTGGGTTCGATTCCTTAGCACCACATAAGCAGAAAAAGCCAGAAGTGGCGTTGTGGCTCAAGTGGTAGAGTGCTAGCCTTGAGCTGAAAGCTGAGGGACAGCACCCAGGCCCAGAGTTCAGGCCCCACAACCGACCAAAAAAGAAGAAAAAAAAAATCTGATGGGGAACTCATGGCCACAAGCAGCAGTCTTGGGCTGGGAAGGTGGCTCAGTGGTAGAGCGCTTGCCTTGCATGCCTGAGGCCCTGAGTTCGATTCCTCAGCACCATATAAGCAAGAAAAAAAAAGGCTGGAAGTGGCGCTGTGGCTCAAGTGGTAGAGCGCTAGCCTTGAGCTGAGGGACAGCGCCCAGGCCCAGAGTTCAGGCCCCACGACTGGACCCTCCCCCCCAAAAAAACCAGAAAACAACAAAGCAGCAATCTTGGAAACAGGTACCACGGTACCACGGCCAAGCCTGTGTACCCATGCAGCCCAATGTGACAAGAGCTAGTGACAAGCTGTGATACCACAAGCATCTCTGCTGGTAGGACCATCGACCACAGCCAAGAATCACACCTTCTAATGGGAAAGGGGACACAGTGAGGCCCTGACAGAGACACCCCTATAGTCTCCTTTGCTGAAACGTTTCTCTACTCTCAAATTTATACATGTGGCTAAACAGAGAGAGACCTGCAAGGACTTTGCTGGGTGCAAGGCAGAGAGGATCAAATGCAGCCTAGTACAAAGCAGACAACACAGGAAAACCAGCAATGACTTCAAATGGGAAACTGCGCCATGAGGTGAGGCGCCAGGGTGGCCTTTCTAGGAGCCACCCCTGGAGAAAGGAAACAGACATGAGGACAAGGCACCGCCAGCAAGGGCAGATGGGACAGACCTGTGTGTGCTACCACATAGGTGCCAGGCAGCAGGGCCATGGGCAGAGGGAGGGCATCCAGAGGGGCGGGCTGGGCCCTGACACTGTGTCTGCTCCAGAAAATGGATGGAAAAAGGGCTACATCACTCTGAGGCGCCTGGACCCTCAGCAATCAGACAGTGATCGGGAGTGCTCTGCTCGACTTGTGCTAGGGTGAGGTGTGGAGGCATCAGATCCCACCCGAGGGTCTTACTATCTACCAAATGTGTCAACAGCCAAGGCAGGGGCTGGAAGACGGGCCAAGCACACTTGTCCTAGGGCCCTGCAGGCCCATCCCTGAACTCTGGCTGTGGCCTCAGGCTGATCACGTCTCCTCAGAAGGCCTGTTTCCTCATCTTTCCAACAGGTATCTGCCTCAAAGGGTTCTATGAGAGATGAGAGGACATAGTTAACACAGCAGCCAGCACACTGTAAGCCATGACGTCCAAGTAAGAAGTCTGAGGGCTGGTACACCAGCAAGGACCAGAACCTCCTTTGTGCAAGACATGCAAAGGCCCAAGCCCAGAAGATGTGGGCTACAAGAGCATCAGTAAAAACAGACCACGTGATGGGATGTGGCGGAAGTCGGGAAGGAAGGAGGGAGGGAAGGAGAGAAGGGAGGAAGGAAGGAAGGAAGAGAAGGGAGGGAGGGAAAGTGGAAAAAGAGGGAAGGAGGGAGGAAGAAAGGAGGGAAGGAAGGAGCGAGCTGCAGCTCCCCTTCCCGTAGATAGCGGCCAGGAATACTGTGGTGGAGGGATGGGTAACAGAACTTTCCCTTAAGTCTCTTCTCTCACCAAGACTTACTTTGGCACATGCCAAAATCCACTGGATCTCTCTCTCCTAACTAAGACCCTGGAGCAGGAAGCCCTGCTCCTGTATGTCAAGGCTTCTCAGGCAGCCACCAACGTGGTCTCCTGGGGGGGCCTGGCTCCTCTCTGGGGCACGTCCACGCTCTGGGTGCTCACGAGCTGCACTGGCTGATGGGAGACCAGAGGGCTGCTCGGTGCTCTCTTCAGAAAAAAGCAGAGGCTTCGCCAAGTTTGTCCTTCCCAGGACCAGACACGGAAGAGTTACAATTCACCAGAGAAGGAAAGCGAAAAGGAGACAGGAAGGGAGGAGGAGTGGGGAGGAGAGTGTTTTTGAAGTTCCCCTGAAGGTGTGAAGATTATCATCACAAAGAGCAAGGTCAATACCCCCTTTGGCTGGGTCTCTTCCCTTGAATCCAGGCCCAGGAGAGCTCCTGCAGGGAGACAGCAGGAATTGCAGCTCCAACCTCCTTCCCGGACCCTGGCGCTCTAGAATGGGGAAGGGATGACCACTTCATCTCCAGCACTCAAGAGGTTATTTTCATGAGCTGGGGGGGGGAGGGCTATGCAAATTCACACCAACCAGGGCTGATCCTCGGCAGGTGGACTGCCTGCTGTGGGCTGTGGGTTGCAGGGTGAGAGGAAGACCCTGGCAGCCAAGGTACTGTGCAAGGTCCCACAGTCCTGGACAAGGCAGGAGGAAGCAACTGGCCACTGTGTGGGTATCCTGAGGCCCACAGGGCTTCTTACAACCCCACTTTGTGCCATCTGTGCAGGTCTGGCACAGGCAGGACCACGGCAGTGACCACAGACAAGTTCAGCCTCACAGTTGGTTCCCAACCACCGGGCACAGATTAGTCCAGCTGATCACAGGTCCTGAGCACATGGGAAAGGCTTCTCAAGAGTCAAGAGGAAAAGAGGCCCAAACACTCCCTTCATTTTAACCCACCAAGGTTTTTCTGCCATGTATGCGTCCATTCATTCACCTAACCACTCATTCATTTATCCAATAAATACCAAAGACTGTTTACTGCACACCAGACATTAGGCTAGTGACTTCTCCTGTACAATAAAATCCAAAGCCAAACCTCCCCAACTCATCTTAAAAATCTCCTGTGGGCTCTAAGGACTTTTATGCTGTTCCTACAAGCCAAGCTCCACCCTACCACAGGACCCTGGCACTGACAGTCCTTCACCACTTCCTGCCTGTGACACCTGTGGCAGAGGAGGCCCAATCCATCCTTATCAAAGGCCCTCTCCCCACCTTCGCAGACACTCTCACGGGTGCAGTTCCCAGTGAGACCCTCAGCGGCCTTCTCCCCGCTCTGAATGAAAACTCCACGGGCAGGATGAGTTCACCTCGCTCGTCGTGCACCAGGGCATGTGCCAGGCTCTCAGTGAGAATCGATGTGTTCAGTAAAGACACAAGTTTCAGGAAGCCGACGCTAAGGCCCCTTCAAGCCGGCCCTGTCATCCGCATCACACCAAGGGGTCTCGTCTCCTCCTTGGCCGCCGCCCCCAGCGGTACTTAGGGAGCACTCTTCCACTGGCAGGCCTCACGAGCGCAGAGTGAAGTAGCTGTTCAACCGGACTGGAGATGCTCATCTCAAGCGTCTGTGCACAGCACTGGCCCGCACCACCCTCCTCCAGGACGGGCCGGCTCTGCCTGCGGCGAGCGCTGGGGCAGGGTCTTCCCGGCGAGCCGACTCGGCGCCGCGGCGGCTGGAACCGAAGCCGAGTCGGGTGAGCCGGCTCCGCCGGGCTCCAGGAAGACGCGCGGCGTGAGGGCCGGGCCCCGGGCGGCGGGCGGCTCCGGGCGGGCCCGCGCCCGGCCACCCACTCCGCACCGCCACCGAGGGGCCACATCCGGGGAACACGGGCTCCTCAAGGACCACCGGCCCCGCCGCCGCCCGGGGTTCCCCGGTCAGTGCCCGGGGTCGCTCATCAGAGGGGGGGCCCTCCCTCCGCTGCCGCCCGCAGCAGGGCGACGCCGGCCCGGCCCCGGCCTCCCCCGCCCCCCGCCGCGGCCCCCCGGTCCGTCCCGGAGCCGCCGGTGGGCGCGGCGACCTCCACGCCGCGGGCCCCGCGCCGACCCGGCAGGTCTTCCCTCCGGAGGAGGCCCGACTCCGGCCTCGCGCCGCCCGCGGGGCCGCCCCGCCGCCTCGCGGGGCGCCCGCCGCCCACCGCCCGCCGGGGCTCGGCCCGGCCTCCCTCCCGCGCGCCCCGGGCGGAGCCGCCGCGACCCCGCCGCGGGGAGGAGCCGCCCGGACCCCGCCTCCCCTCCCCCGCCCCGGCGGCTCGGCAGCCTCCGGAGCCGGCGTCCCGAGCCCCTCGCCCCCGGCCCGGCCCGCCCCGGCGGGCGCTCGCCGCCCGCAGCCTCGGGGCCCCGCCGCGCAGCCCCCGGCCCTCCGGCCCCCGCTTCCGGCCGCCGCCGGCCCCTCCCCGCCGGCCGTCGCGCGGAGCCCAGCGGCCGGAGGCTGGCGCGGGGCCGCCGGCCTCGCGGCAGAGGCCTCGGCGGCGGCCCGGCCCCACCCCGGCCCGCGCCCCGCCGGCCCGCCGGGCCCGCCGCCCCCGCTCACCCGAGCCTGTGGTGGCTGCCATCTTGCGTCGCTGTCGTTCGAAGGCCGGCCCCTTCTTCACCCCCCGGCGTCCCCGGGCCCCGGCGCGCACGCGCGTGCGCACGCGCAGACGCCGCCGCCAGCCCCGGACCGGAAGGGCCTTCTCTCCGCGTCCTGAGACCGGAAGCGTTTACGTGCGCGGGGGCGCGCGGCCGGGGCGACGGGCCGACGTCGAGGAGCCCGGCGGGAGCGGCGGGGCTCGGGGCTCGGGGCTCGGGCTCGGGAGGCCCCGCGAAGAGCCCCGGGCTCCGCCGCGCGCCGCCCTCTCGAGCTGGACCCTCGCGCGTCTCACACCCGTCGGGTTTAACGTCGAAATGAAGCCGGGAGCCGCAGCGTTCGAGCCCACGCCCGACGGGCCCGCGGCGGCGCGGGCCGCACGGCCTCGGTCCCGCCGTCCCCGTCAGCTCGTGCCTCCAGACCCGACGGACCCGCCTGCGCCCGGGCTGCAGCCATGGCGGGAGCCGCGCCGCAGGGCACACGGAGGCCGCGGCCGCCCCGGGCTCTGCGCACCTCCCGGGCGTCGGTGGCCCGGGCGGCCACCCTGGCCGCTCGGGAGGCCCAGGTCTGAAGCCAGCCCGGGCAGCGAAGTCCCCGGGACTCCGCACAGTCTACTATTCACCACCAGAAAACTGGACGTGCAGCTGTGGCCCAAGTGGCAGAGTGCCAGCTGGCTTTGGACCGAGGCCCTCAGTTGAGGGCCCAGGACCAACGCGTGCAGCACGCGCACACGCAGAGCTCCTTCATCAAGAAGCCCTTGAGCATGAGAAGTAAGAAACGGACTCAGTCACACTAGCCCCAGCAGAGAAATGATGGGTACAAAAGGACAAAGAACATGGGCTGGGAAGGTGGCTCAGTGGTAGAGCGCTTGCCTCGGGCATGCAGGCCCTGGGTTCGATTCCTCAGCACCATATAAGCAGAAAACCCGGAAGTGGCGCTGTGGCTCAAGTGGTAGAGGGCTAGCCCTGAGCTGAAGAGCTGAGGGACAGCGCCCAGGCCCAGAGTTCAAGCCCCACGAGTGAGAAGAACATTGAATACTTACCAAGTATACCCCCCCCCCCAGCAAGCCTCATTCACCACAAGCCTTACTGGACATGCCAGCCAGAGTCCACATGGACACACGCTCCGGCTATAGCCATCTTTATCACGTCCATCTCTAGACAAAGTGAACAGTACAAACCAGTCACTGCCTGGAATCGGGGGCTCACGCCTGCCACCTTGACTACTCAGGAGGCTGAGGTCTGAGGATCGCTGTTCAAAGCCAGCCAGGGTAGGAAAGTCCATGAGACATCTTCAGTTAACCACCAGAAAACCAGAAGTAGTGGTGCTATGTCTCAAGTGATAGAGCACAAAGAGGCTCAGGGACAGTGTCCAGGCACAGAGATCAAGCCCCACAACCAACCAAACCTCCTCCCCGCCCCCCCCCCCCAAAGACTGACTACAATAATCATCCACTGAGAACAAATGTCAGATGGAAAGGGCCACTGGCATCTCTCCAGGACTGCAGGAAACCAGGTCTATGGCAAACTAGGATGGATACCACCTTGCCCACAGGCTGTACACCCTTGCTGGCTTTTTGTTTTGATCTTCACTGTACACATCCCCTAAGAGGGCCATGACCTTCAAGGGCCTCACCCTAGCGTTGACACTGCTTGTGACATGCAGCACCTTTCTGTGGACACTGGCTTTTTGCAAGGACTGTGGGTCACATGTGCACCGCCACTCCCCCCCCAGTCCCTCCCACTTAGGACTTTTCATGTAGGGCTTAGGACTCTTCACTTCTGAGCTCCAGTATCGCCCTTCCAGGAAGCCTTCCATGATTGCTTCAACTGCATCAACACAAGCTTTCCTCGGCTAAGACTAGGTATTCCTTTTTGTCTGAGGTAATGAAATCATTCTGTGCCAGATGATACAAATTTGCTTTGAGGAGGCACAGAAAACATTTGCTCTGCATTTTGGGCCACTGTAAAGCACCAGTGAGAGCTAACTAGAGCCGTTGAGCTTCTTGGAGAGTTCTAGGTTTGAATTTTCACCACTTTTCTTTGGTAGAATATTTGTGACGTCTGACATTCATTTCTTCTGGAAAGGGGAAAGATCTCATGATGGCTAGGGAGATAAAATAGTCAAACCTGCAAAAGATGCCACTTACTAGGCTATTATGTCGTTTACTCTGTGTGTGTGTGTGTGTGTGTGTGTCACACGCATGTGCTAGACCATACCCTCCCAAAAACAGATAAAGGAACCAAAAGCAGCCAGGTACTGATGGCTCACACCTATCATCCTAGCTATTCAGGAAGTTGAGATCTGAGGATCACAGTTAAAGCCAGCCTGCACAGGAAAGTCCATATGACTCATGTCCAATAAAATATTCAGGAAAAGCTGTGAATGGTACTATGGCTAAAGTGGTAGAGCACTAGCCTTGAGCATAAATAAGCTCAGGGATAGCGTCCAGGCCCTGAGTTCAAGCCTCAGGACCCACAAAACAACAAACCAGCAATGAAAAAAACACCTTGTTTCCATTTCCTGAAGATCATTTAAACATTTATATTTTGCCAGTCCTGGGGCTTGAACTTAGGGCCTGGGCACTGACCCTGAGATTTTTTTTTTTTTTTTTTGGGTCCGGTCCTGGGGCCTGAACTCTGGGCCTGGGCGCTGTCCCTCAGCTCTTCAGCTCAAGGCTAGCGCTCTACCACTTGAGCCACAGCGCCACTTCCGGCTTTTTTCTTTTTGCTTATGTGGTGCTGAGGAATCGAACCCAGGGCCTCAGGCATGCAAGGCAAGCGCTCGACCACTGAGCCACCTTCCCAGCCCTGACCCTGAGATTTTTTTGCTCAAGGCTAGCACTGTACCACTTGACCCACAGCGCCACTTCCAGCATTTTCTATTTATGTGGTCTTGCTAGGCAAGCGCTCGACCACTGAGCCCCATCCCCAGCCCTGGTGTTATTTTATATGATGGGGTGTGCGCAGGCGCTGCGGCCTCTGTCCGCGCTCGGCGCGTCCGCCTGCCGTGCGTGGACGCGTCCCTGGTCAGGCCCCGGCATTTCAGCTCCGGGCCTCGCAGGCGAGGAAAGCGCGGGCTGGTGGCGCCTCAGCCTGGCGCCACTTCACGTGGTTTGTTCTAGGTCCATCTCGCACTGCTTTCACGCAGCTCAGACGCAGCCTGTTCTAGAACGCGGAGAGTAAAGCGCAGGCCTTTCCCCCGCCGCGCTCGGGGCTCACGGAGTCCCGCACGCTGGGAATGGCCGGCGAGCTAGACGGAGCCAGCGGGTTCCCACGCCCAGCTCCCGGAGGAAGGCGGCTCCGCGCGCGCGCGCCCCGGGGCATGCTGGTCATTGTAGTCCGCCCGTGTTGTGGCATCCGCTGGGAGTGGTAGTATTCCCGCCCCGCGAGGCCCCGCCCGCGGTGGCGTCACAGCCCCACCCCAGGGCAGGATGGGGCCGGCGCGCTGCGGATCAGAGACCGTGCCTTCTCGGATTTGCGAGGTTAATGGAATAGGGGAAGCAGGCGAGGGCTTGGCGCGGGGAAGTGCTGCGCGAGTATTAGTTGTTATTATAACTCAATCCTCTGTGACCCTTGCCAAGGCGCTGTTACCAAGTCCCGTAAGTCCGACAGGGAAACTGAGGCTGGAGAAGTTAGATGGCTTTGCTAGCCTTACAGGACGTCTGGAGTCCACTTCTTCCTCCTTCCCTTTCCCCTCCTCCTCTTTCTTCCTTCCTCCTCCTCCTTTTGTCCTTTCTGTCGGCCTTGGGCTTGAACTTAGGGCCCTGGCTCCTTTGCTCAAGGCGAGCACTCTACCACTTTGAGACACAGCCTCACTTGCAGTTTTCTGGTGTTTTACTGAAGAGTCTCACAGCCTTTCCTGCAGGGCTGGCTTTGAACCAGGGTCTTCAGACCTCCCTCAGCCTTCTGAGTAGGTGGGATTACAGGTGTGAGCCACCAGTGCCCGGCTTTCTTTACATGTGTGTGTTTACTGGTTCATGCCGATCCTGGCTTGAATTCAGGATCTGGGAGCTCTGGAGAGGCTAGGTTTGTGGCAGAATGTGGCTGGTTTGCCTTTCTGCCAGGCTGCCCAGCTGCGGCTGGGAGACTGGGCCAGAAGGCCAGAAAGTGTGTTTACTTCCCTCTTTGTTAACAGCTGAGGAGAAAAACCTTTTAAAAAATGTCCTATGTAGTCGGGCACTGGTGTCTCACACCTGTAATCCTAGCTATTCAGGAGGCTGAGATCTGAGGATCACAGTTCAAAGCCAGCCTGGTCAGGAAAGTCTTACCTCCACGGAACCACCAGAAAACTTCAAGTGCAGCTGTGGCTCAAAATGATAGAGCACTAGCATTAGCCTTGAGCAAAAGAGCTCAGGGACAGCGCCCAGGCCCTGAGTTCAAGCCTCATAACAACAAGAAAGTCCACAAATGAAGTTGAGATAGTTAAAAGTTGTGGTAACCACAATGAGACCATAAGGCATAAAAAGAGAGACCAAAACAGAAAATCTGAGGCCTAAATATGGATAGTACAAAGATGTGCACAGGCCCCGGAGGGTATAGTTAGTAGGTGAGGTAGTTCTGGGGTCACCTACTTTGACTTTTTTTTTTTAGGTATAGAGCCCAGAATTGAAAGTTGAATCAATCAACCCATGGATTTGCTCTATTCCAGGAGTGTGTAATTTGCAAATCTTGACTCAACCTTTATGACTCTCCTGATGTCAGTGCCATCTTAGAACAGAGACCACTGAGGCACAGAATGGGGAAGGACCTGCTTGAGGGTCACTGGCACATAAATATCAGACCAAAGATTTGAACGGTAAACTTTTTTTTTAAGGGGGGCAGTCAGTCATGGGGCTTGAACTCAGGGCTTGGGCACTGTCCCTGAGCTATCTTGCTCATGGCTGGTGCCCCAGGTCATACATCCCTTTTTATAGTCACCTGTAAAAGGCAACTTACAACCTGGTGCCAGTGGCTCACGCCTGTCATCCTAGCTACTCAGGAGGCTCAATCTGAGGATCTCTGTTAGAAGCCAGTCCAGACAGGACTCCAATAAACCACCAGAAGTGGCTCTGTGGCTCAAGTGGTAGAGCACTCGCCTTGAGCTGAAGAGCTGAGGGACAGCGCCCAGGCCCAGAGTTCAAGCCCCACAACTGAAGAAGGAAAAGAAAAAGGGGATGTATGTGTGACCTTCAAGTCCACCTGGGTTGGTCATGGTGCTGCCTGGCTGCACCACCAGATGGCAGCAAAGGGCTTCCTCAGGCCAGGCCCTTGGCCCAGGCAGGATGTCCAGGCAGAAGTTAGCCTTTGCCAATGAATGTACTTTTGCCCAGGGTGTGTTGAAGCTTTTGTTGCTGTTCCCTTTTTTTTTTTTTTTTTTGGGGGGGGGGTCCAGTCGTGGGGCCTGAACTCTGGGCCTGGGCGCTGTCCCTCAGCTCTTCAGCTCATGGCTAGCGCTCTACCACTTGAGCCAGAGCGCCACTCCCGGCTTTTTTCTTTTTGCTTATGTGATGCTGAGGAATCGAACCCAGGGCCTCAGGCATGCAAGGCAAGCGCTCTACCACTGAGCCACCTTCCCAGCCCTGCTTTTTTTTTTTTCCTTCCTTCCTTCTTCTTTCCTTTCTTTTGCAGTAGTGGGATTTGAACTCCAGACCCCTTGCTTGCTAGAACAATGCCCTTTCCCTTGTGCTTAGGCCTTAAACTTCTTTTGAGACTTGGTCTGGCTTTCTCTTGTTCTTGTAGGCTCAAGCAATTCTTCAACCCAGGCGTCACGCTCAGCTTTTCTTGGTATGTTTTCAACATGGCATCAGTATGTTTAAAATTTGGATTCTGTCCACCCCCATCCCGGGCCACCTTTGAGTCCAGCACACAGCCCAGCCCACCCTCCCTCATCAGCCACCGGGCTTGGGGACAGACAGGAGCTAGACGCTGGTTCTGACCCCATTAGCTGCACATCCCATACTTTCAGTCTTAAAAGTCTTAGGGAGGAGCTGGGAAGTGACTCGGTGGTAGAGTGCTGGCCTAGCATGCATAAAGCCCTGGGTTTGATTCCTTAGTACCACATACACAGAAAAAACCAGAAGTGGTGCTGTAATCCTGGCTCAAGTGATAGAGAGGGAGCCTTGAGCAAAAGAAGCTCAGTCAGGAACAGTGCCCAGGCCCTGAGTTCAAGTCCCAGGACTGGTAAAAAAAAAAAAGGAAGGGTTAATTCCACCTCTGGCCCAGGAGACTGTGTCAGTCCTGGCCAATCAGAACACCCTGCTTTTCCTGGGCAACCTGACTGGCCCACCCTGGGCCGGTGAGAGGCAATCTTGCAAGGCTGGCTGCAGCTGCAGCCCGTGGGTGGGGAGTGCCCCACTGTCCCATCAACTCAGGAAAAGCAGACCCGGAATCCCGGGTCCTGCCAAACCCCAGTGTGAACCCGCCAGGCACTTTCGCAGCTCTAGGAGTTGACGGCCTTTAGTTCTCAATTGTGTGAGGTAGGGGTCGGGGGGCAAACTTCTAATACCTCTTTCTTTACCCATCCTCAGACATGGCGTCAAGTTAAATTTTGAGGATGGGGTTATAGCCATTTTTTGGGCGGGGTTGTGGGGCCTGACCTGAGCCACATCGCCACTTCCAGCTTTTTCTGTTCATATGGTGCTGAGGAATGGAACCCAGGGCCTGATGCATGCAAGGCAAGTGCTCTACCCCTGAACCACCTTCCCAGTCCTATGGGTTATAGCCATTTTTAAACCAATGCCTTACTGAGGCTGCTCTTCCATGCAGGCCAGACTCCCCCCACCCTGGGGATGGACATGGGTCCCAGTGTGTGTGGCACTCTACCAACAGAGCCATCTCAGCCCTGTGTTGCCCCTGAGCCCCAGGAAGGACCTTTTAACGACTTATTCAGAAGATAAGCACGTTTCTTCTCGGTCCGAGGTCCGAGGTACCCAGTGCTTACCACCTCGGCCGCCAGCTGTGTGACACACCCTGGCTCCCAGCTTCCCCTTCCTCCCCCAGGACCTCTGCAGGAGGACCTCCCAGGAGGAGGCCCCTCTTCCCAGGCCTCCTGCAGGCCCCAGGAGCCTGCTTCATTTTCACACATCATCAGGGGAAGTTCCATGTGCATTTATTCACATTTATTGTCTCCCCTCACCCAGCCCAGCGACTCCCGGGCAGGGCTTTAGTTCACTGTAGTCCAGTGTCAAGACCAGAGTCTGACACACCCACCAGCCAGCGACATGAAGGAACTCTCCAGAATGGAGCAGCCTTTATCTGTCATGGTCCCCTGAATGGTCCCCCACCCCCACCCCAAGCTGGGGTCCCCTTGGAAAGGTGACAGTAGTTTTCTACCAGGGCTAACAGCCCCACCTGGAGGCCAGGCCAGGGAGCTGGGGAGGGGGCGGAGCTCATCCTGACCTCTTGGCCCCGCCCCAGCCAACCAGGAAACACCTTGAGGCTGCCAGGGTGAAGGAGACTCTTGCTGCTTTGTTATAAATATATTATGTACATCCAAAACAGGACATTAAAATAGTATTCCGTGTTACAGAAAAGATATTAAGGCGTTCTATTATACATTAACAAGCAAGCACCTTTAAAAAAAACCCAAAATAAAAAAGCCCCGCTTCCTTCCGACACACCTTGTAAGGAGACAGGATGGCCTTTCCCAGGTGACCAGCCCTTCACGGCTGTGACCGCAGAGCCAGCTGGAGCCGGGGACATCAGAGGCAGCTGGAATGGGGCGGGCGGAGGGAGAGGGTGCCCAGACATGACGGGGGTCTTGGCCTCTGCTGCTGGCTGCCCTCGGCCCCTCTGGCGGGCGCCATCTTGGGTGACCACTGGCGGCAAAGGCTGTCCACCTGCAGGGGCGCCCAAGGGTCCGGGTCTCCCTGGGCCACTGGGGCCAGGCAGGGCCATGTCAGTGGCCTCCTTCAGCCCTGGGGCGGGGCAGGGCAGGGGCGCCGGGGGCGGGGCTCCCTTTTTCTGCAGTGCTGGGCTTTGGGACAGCAGCTCAGGCGCTTGGGGAGGGGCCCAGGAAACAAAAGGAAGAAGCACTGAAGTCAGTGGCTCAAGTATTGTCACGGGTGGGCGGGGTCCCCTGGGCGAGGCAGGGATTTGGCAGATGGCTTCCGTTCAAGGCTGGGGCGGCTGGTCGCTGGAGTGGGCTCCAGAAGTCACTTGATCTTCTGGGCCCACTTCATGTCGTCCGCCCGCGGCTTCTCGCCTGTGAGGCCCTGGATGAGACCCTCCAGGCGCCGCCAGAAGCCCATCTTCTCCAGTGGGTAGTTCAGCCAGCCTGCGGAGACAGACATGGCCCTTCAACTGCTGGCAGGAGTCCCTCCCCCCTCAGGCCTTATTTAAAAGGCAGGGACCGCCCCCCCATCTCTCCACCGCCCTCCCCTCACGGCAGGCCGGGACACCTGCCTCCCCCACGGCTGGAGGCCAAGCTCAGGCCACACTAGGTGCGGTAGGTGCCAGGCCCCGCGGGGTGGGGGCCGGGCGGCCCCACCTGTGGTGATGCAGAAGTAGGTCTCGTGGGGCGACACGTGGTGGATGCGGTGGTGCCGGCGGGGCAGGATGATGTGCCAGTCCTGCAGCGCCTCCACCCAGCGCGGCAGCCCGAAGTACGTGTGCGACCACTTGTGGATCTGGTTGGTGAAGGTGCCAAAGAGGATCAGGCAGAAGACAAAGCACTCCCAGGGGTACAGCGGCTCCAGGGCTCCTGCGGGGATGCGCATGCCATCACACGGGGGTCCCGCCCTCGGGCAGCCCCCTGGGCCTCAGGCCTTCGGTTCAGGGGCAGAGGCTGGAGGTGGCCTGGGAGTGGCTGACGGAGGGGGGGCCTCCACCTTCTTGCAAGCGCCCCCGGGCAGCAGCCAATGCTCAGGGGCGAGGGCCAGGACCAGGCAGGCAGGCTCGGCGTGGTGGGTAGCAGGCTGGGATGTGGGTGTCACGGGAGGAGAGGGGTGCAGCAGCTTGGTGTTGGCATGGGGGGGCAGGTTGGGACCTGGACCCCAGTGGCTATCGCTGACTGCCAGGAGAGGCTGGGAACTGGGGCCATCTTGTCCAACACCACAAGGGGTTGAACTCTGGGCCTCGTAAAGGGCTCCACTGCTTGAGCCACACTCCCAGCCTTGGACAGTATCTTGGCCTTGGACTGAGATCCTCTGCTTCTCTGCCTCCTCCACACCCAGGACAAGCGTGCTCCACCACACCTGGCCCAGAACCATTCTGGCGTCACTGGACAGCTCTGGAAACGCACACCCAGCCCGAAGGTCCTGGCCTCACCTGGGCTCAGGGTGCGGAACTTGTAGGCCATGTTCAGCAGCGGCAGCAGGGTCACCAGACAGTTGTCACCGTTGGTTTCAATGAAGTCGTGCCTTGTGATGGCTGTGGGGTCGATGTGGTGTTCCCGGAAGGGCCGGATGAAAGCCTGGGTGGTACAGGGGCCACTGTGGCCATCAGCCCATGGCCCGTGCCTTCCAGACCCAATCTGCCCTGCTAGGTCACCTCCTGGGCCTGGAACGCCCACCCTGACCCAGCCCTGGAGCCCCAGACTCTTCCATGAGGTACCCCAAACCCTGCGAGGCACGTGGAAATGATCCGAAATGGATGTGGAGGCCACCTGCTTCCCTGCACCCCCGGACTAAGTGGCCGCTTGCAGTAGGAGACATCGAGCACTGTCACCTTCCACACCTGCCTTGGGTTAAAATCCTCCCTTTCTCTTAGCACCACTGTTGGGCGGGCTGACCCGACCCCACAGTGGGTATGTGACCAAGCCTGGCCAATCAGAATCCAAGTCCCTCCAGCCATTCAAGATGGCCACGTGACCAAGACTGGCCAATCAGAACCCAAGTCCTTCCAGCCATCACCAGCTTCAAGACGGCCATGTGACAGGGGCTGGGCCCTGGGACCTTGGACTGGAGGCCTCTTCTCTTTTCCTGGTCTAGAGAGAGGATGGAGGTGGGCAGGAAGGTGGGAGGCTGTCCTATGACCCCAGCTACCCTGCCTTCAGCTCTAACCCCGAGAGCTCAGCTCCACGCAGACTTTAAGAAAACCAGTTCACATCAGATTTTCTGACAGGTACAAGATAAATCCACTTTAGACAAAGACAATGGATAGTGCCTTCGATGCCAGCCTAGTCCACACAGTGAGACCCCCCCCAAAAAACGAAACCAAAAATCCAAAAGCTCTGCACAATCAAGTCCCCCCACTGCGCCTCAGCCAGGCCAGGAGAGCTGCTCTGACTGGGAGGGAGCCTGCTCTGCTCTGCTCTGCTCTGCTCTGCTGGGAGGCCGCTGACCCCCGGGCAGGGTGAGGCTTCAGGGAAGGGTGCCCACCCAAGGCCGCACGGGCAGCATACGCACCTTCCCCACAACGGGCAGCTCCACGGAGCCCCATGTGTCGGCCCCCCAGTGCACCAGGCCAGACAGGAAGTCAGCAACGAGCGCGCCGGCAACTGTGAGCGAGAGGAGGGTGAGTGGAGGCCCGCGCTTGCTCACCCAACCCGCCAGTCCATTCACTCCTTCTTGGGGCGGGGGCTCCTTTCCAGTTTTCTTCCCTGGAGAAAGGGGTTCACCTAACTTTCTTGGCCCTGAACTGCCCCAGGGGTGGGGCACTCTCCCTGGCAGTGGCGAGACAGGCGGGGGAAAGCCACGCAGCCCTCCCTGGTTTCCTCCTGCCTCGCTTCCTCCTCTGCTCTCTGCGCAGAAGCAGAAGCGGAGCCCCCGGCCCTGGCCGCAGGGCTGGCACCGCAGGCGAGGCCGGCAGGCGGCTGCCCCTATGGGGCGATGTGGGGGCCTGGAGACCCACACCGGACACAGCGGGGTGTCATCCTGTACCACAGGGAGGGCACGGGGTGGGGGGGAGGGGCAGCACCTCACTATCGCCCTGCTCACTGCAGCCTTCCTGCACCTGCCCCTTCCACACCTCCCCCCAAGACCTGGAACATTCTTGCCCTGTAGTACAGCTCCCCTCCTTCACACCTGGGGTCTGCGCTTGCGCGCTCTCCAGTCACCATAGCCTCCCAGGGCCAGGACTCAGCACGACACCCTGAATCCAAGAAGCCAGCCACACAGCAGGCCCGCAGCACAGCCCGCTCAGCCATGGGGTCCCTGTGTTCCCTGGATCCCAGGGCAGAGGACCAGCGGACCACGCAAGCTGGTGGCTTTGGGCCAGCCCCTCCCACTTCCTCTGACTGTTTCCTTTGTGAATTGCGTGTCTGCAGCCCCTGGGTGACAACCAAGCCCAGGGCACCTTCCCGGGGACGGGAGCTGCAGAGCACTGTGGCACAAGTCACGCAGCCACAGAAGGAGGACATCCAGCGGAGGTGAGCACAGGAGGGGCTGGAGGGCCGGGGGAAGGTGGGGCATGGCCGGAGATGGGCCCTGCAGAAGGGCAGAAGGCGGGTGGGCTGGAGTCAGGCAGCCTGCTGCTTGGCAGGGGTGGGTGTGGAGTGGGGGGAGAGGACAAAGAAGGGCTTTTGCGGCTGCTGGCAGGCAGCATCTCCCCGGCACAGCCTCCCCAGCAGCCCCACGCCTTGCATTTCCTTTCTCAGCTCCTAGGACAAGGCAAGGCCACGTCTGTCTGTCTGTCTGTCTGTGGCCTCAGGTCTGGTGCCAGCATCTTGGATGTCTCACCTCCTCTGATCTCTGCACTACAGTGAGCAGACCTAGGAGGGTCTCTGATGGTGGCTTGACATTCCTGGAGGCCTGACTCCCACACTGTGCGCACGCCTGGTGTGTGCACATGGGTGCGTCAAGTGAACTCTGCACACACCTGGGCCCACAGGCAATCAAGGGCAATGACCCACAGCACTGCTGACCCTGCTCCTACCTGGGCCTGGGACCTCTGCCCCCATCTCCAGGCCTGTCCTGATCACCAGAAAAACACTGGCAAAACAAGAGCTGCCCGAGCAGCGCTCCGCCCGCCACAAAACTGTCAGGGCCACGAGGAAATGGGAGGAGTCTGATGGTTGGGTGTGGCTTTGGCCATGCAGGTAGAGACACTGGGAGAAGATGGAGTGTGCGAGGCCTGGGTTCCACCCCCAGCACACACACACACACACACACACACACACACACACACACACACACAAAGCACATGCACACACTAGATCACAGTTGAGAGTCAAATCTTCAAGTGACAACTCCACATAATGTGGCCTCTTGCTGGGTGTTGGTGGCTCATCACGCCTGTCATCCTAGCTACTCAGGAGGCTGAGATCTGAGGATTGTGGCTCAAAGCCAGCCCGGGCAGGAAAGTCCATGACACTCATCTCCAATAACCCACTCAGAAAACCAGAAGTGGCGCTGTGGCTCAAGTGGTAGAGCACTTCTAGAGCTGAAGAGCTGAGGGGCAGTGCCCAAGGCCAGTGTTCAAGCCCCATGACCAGAAAAAATGTGGCTCCTTTCCTGGGACAGGAAAGGGAAACGGACGGCAACGGCTGGAATATAGCCTGCATGCTGTATGTCAGTTGCGCCAAAAGCCCGTTGTTAATGCAAGATGGCAGAGTCGGACACTGGAGGGTGTGTGGGGACAGTGCCTCCATCTTCCCCTGCATCCCAGCCTCCTGAACACTGGAGGCTGCTAAGCAAGCGTCTCTCTTTTCCATCCCAACTGCTTGGCTTTCCTGAGGCTGCTCTCTGCGCAGCCTGTGGGGCTCCTACGGTCACGGGGAGCAGGGCCAGTGGGGCTGCCAGGGCCAGAGCAGGGCCGCACTGTGGTCACAGAGGCCAGGCTCAGGCAGGGATGCAGGCCTCTCCGCAGGGTTCACGAGCGCTGAGTGGGCCGCGGGTGGCAGTTTCAGGGCTGAGGTGCCCTGGCCTCGGCATCTGTCCAGTGGGTGCCAGGCCCAGGCCCTCCTCGCTGCCCCGCAGCACAGACAGTGAGGCCACCACCCCGGGCCCCGCACAGCCGTTCCTGGAGCACAGCTCCAGGCTGCCGGCCTACCAGGCTTTCTTCCACGGGGCAGGTGCACAGCCTCTTTGTCCCCTGAGCACAGAGACTGGACAGGGGTAGGCAGGGCTCCCTCCAGGCCCCACCTCTGAGGCCTGGTGTGGAGGACACCGGGCAGACGGGGGGTGGGGGGGAGGGGCTGTGCAGGGTCCCTGGTAATTGTCACAAACCCAGAGGCCCCTGCTGCCCATGATGCTCCCCCAACTCAGCGCATGGGCACGCACCAGCCTCGGGCCTTTGCGCGTCCTGCTTTGCCTTTCCCCAGGGCCACTGTACTTACACTTCAGGCTTGGCATCGCTGTGGCTGGCCAACCTACTAGACACCTTTCCAGTTCCAGGTCCTTTGATTTCCCGTGCCAGCCTTGGGCGTGGAGCCCGGGGGCCAGGGCGGGGTTGGCAGTGCTGGCACGCACCCTTATCATCTCCCTGAAGCTGACGGGCAGCCCGGGGTGCTGCTCCTATCGATTAGGGCCTGTGCAAACAGCACTATCTGCAGACTGTCTCCCTTATCAGCCAGAGGTGGAGGTGTGGAAGTGGAGCCCTAGGACAGCTTCTCCAGTCACCCGGGTGTTGGAGGCGCTGAAGGAGGGGTGACCTGCCTGGGGACCCCCCCCCCACCACCCTGCCCACCCTTTGTTCCTTGCATGTGCACTGGGGGGTCTGGCCCAGCTGGGGGTCTGTGGGGTGAGAAGGACTGACCGGGTGCGGCCCAGGTGAGGCCTGACAGGCAGGTCACAAGGCTTTGTAAAGTATCCATGCCCAGCAGGGGCTTGGTGTTGGCTAAGCTGACCAGCAGCGGGAGGCCCTGGCCTTGTGGTGGCCATGTCTCTTCCCGCCTCTTGCGGTCCCAGGGCCAGGAGGCAGGAGTGTGAGCCTCACGCGTACCCCGCCCCCTGCCTGCCAGGCACCCCCTGGACCAGGCCCCAAGGCTCAGAGCACCTCTGTCCAGCCCTGAGGCTGAGCAGAGGGCAGGCAGGGCTCCTGGGGCCTTGACACATTCACCAAGCACACAGCACCTGCTGTGTGCCAGACAGTACTAGTGTTTGAACTCAAGAGTCCCTGCTTGCTTGCTTGTTCAACTAGTTCTCTACCAGCTGAACCATAGCTCCTGCTTGGCTTGTTACGGGCTACTTTGGGAGATAGAGTCTAGTGGACCTCTGGACCCTGTCTGGATCCTCCAGTTTGGTCTCCTGAGTAGCTGGGATTACAGAGACGTGAGTTACTGTTGCCTTGATTTTTGAGGAGCAATCAGGGAGGGCTTCTCTGGCACAGGGAACAGCACAGGCCAAGGCCCTGGGGTAGGAGTGAGTCCTCAGGACAGTGGCCAATACAGTGTACGCAGAGCGGCTGTCTGCACGGGGAAGGCAGTGCCTATCTGGGCCGTGTGTGTGGATGCTGGGGGCATCCCTGGGAGCAGGGAGCGCATTGGGTAGGGGGAAGCATTTCGAATGTGCACACACGCATAGGCAGGCAGGTGCCTGGGGGCCCCAGTACTCACCGATGCCCACAATGACCAGGGGCATGTGCTCCCAGCGGGCCAGCAACAGGAGGTGGACCAAGTTGTGGGCAATGAGGCCAAAGCACAGGATCACGCAGCACCACTCCTGGAACCGCTTGCCTGTGGGGAGAGGGGGGAGGGCCCTGAGAGCCTGAGAGCACTGCACCCATGCCCCTCCCTGACACCAGGCCACGCCCCACCCTCGGCACACCACCAACCACTATGCAGCACCAGCCCTCCCTGACAGCAGGCCACGCCCCCAGAGGCTGGGCCTCTATGCAGGCCTCCTGGGCCTTGAAGCCCTTGAGGCCCTTGGAAGCCCTTGGGAACGGTTTTACCCTGAAGCCTCTTGCACACCTGCTTCCCCCCCCTGCAAGTGACTCCCTAGAGACTGCCTGCATAAGCTTCAGACAATAAGCTGGGAGGTCCAGGGGAGCCAGGGCCTCTGGTAGTGGCCATCACCTCGAGGTGGCTGCAGGGAGGGAGCAGGTGCTGTGGACTGTCAGGATGGGGGGGGGGGCCTTAACACTGCCGTGTTTGGACAGTGCACTGTTCTGTCCACGCGTCTGTCACGTGGGGACCGGCTAATGAGCTGGCCCTGGCATCACTGTAGCCAGAGGAGCTGGAGGCCCAGCGCAGCAGCTCCGGTGTGGCTTCCCTCTGAACACACCACAGCAACACTCTTCCTTGCACTACTAACGATACTAGAACTTTTTCACTCGAGTCTGGTGTTCTACTACTTAAGCCACAATTCCACTTTCAGCTTTTTTGGTCATTAACTGGACAGAAGAGTCTTGAAGACGTTCCTGCCTGGGCTGGTTTTAACTTCAGTCCTTAGATCTCAGCCTCCTGAGTCGCAAGGATTACCGGCGTGAGTCACTGGCGCTCAGTTACTAGTGGCAAGGTGTTTTGTTTTTTGTTTTTTGCTGGTCCTAGGACTTGAACTCAGGGCCTAGGTGCTGTCCTTGAGCCTCTTTGTGTTCCAGGTTAACACTCTACCACTTGAGCCACCATTCCACCTCCAGATTTTTCTGAGTAGTTTTTTTGTTTTTTTTTTGGGTCCGGTCATGGGGCCTGAACTCTGGGCCTGGGCACTGTCCCTCAGCTCTTCAGCTCAAGGCTAGCGCTCTACCACTTGAGCCACAGCGCCACTTCCGGCTTTTTTCTGTTTGCTTATGTGGTGCTGAGGAATCGAACCCAGGGCCTCAGGCATGCAAGGCAAGCGCTCTACCACTGAGCCACCTTGCCAGCCCCCTGAGTAGTTTTTTTGAGATAGGAGTCTCACGGCCTTTCCTGCCTGGGCTGGCTTTGAACCGCGATCCTCAGATCTCAGCCTCCTGAGGCATGAGCCACCACGTGTGTGAGCAGAGCCTGAGCTACTTTCCAGGTGAGACCTCAGCGGCGACTGCCGTCCCTGCGTGTGACATGGCGAAGCCAGGCTCCGCCCTCCTGAAGCCAAGTAGAGATGGAGGAAGTAGCCCAAGGCCGTCAAATCAGAGGGTCGGCTCCTCAAGCGCCCTAGTGCCCACTTCTAGTCTATTCCTTTTTTATTTTTTTGGTCGGTCGTGGGGCTTGAACTCTGGGCCTGGGCGCTGTCCCTCAGCTCTTCAGCTCAAGGCGAGCACTCTACCACTTGAGCTACAGCGCCACTTCCGATTTTCTGGTGGTTTATTGGAGATAGGAGTCTCACGGTCTCTCCTGCCCGGGCTGGCTTTGAACCGAGATCCTCAGATCTCAGCCTCCTGAGTAGCTAGGATTACAGGCGTGAGCCACCAGCGCCCAGCTTTCTAGTCTATTCCTAAGCAGGGTCCCGGCACTGCGCTGGTGCTCAGGACACATTCCTGAGCAGGGTCTGAAGGGCGGGGCCAGGCTGTGATGGGGGCCCGCCCCGGTGCATCCTGGGAAGGAAGTGTCAGCACACAGCCGCCTCTTGTCCCTGTGATGCAGGGGACAGCGGAGGTCACCGGCAGGGAACAGGTCCCAGGGTTCCCCGCTCCTGCTTCTCAGCCAGCCTCCTGCCCCAGCTTGGGGTCATGGAGGTCATGGTAGCAGGCCCTCCCATTTTCAGTTCCGGTCTGTGGGACAGGACCAGGCTCAGAAGCAGGAAGGCCCCGGGGGAAGCCCAGCAGGAAATGAAGGGCAGGCGGCTCCCACGCACAGCCTGCCGGGCTGCCTGAAGGCTGATGTGGGCAGATCAATGACAGCGACACCTCGTGGGCCCACCTGCCAGCAGCTTCTGCTCTCCGTGGGCTTTTTGTTTTTAAGTGAGCTAAGTGAAGTCGTGTAAGTTCCTGGTTCTTGCTTCCTGTGAGAACACAGGGTGCGGGCACCCCAGGGCGGCCCAGCCCCTCCCCCTCCCTCCCAGGTGCCCACGGCCTGTGGCGCTGGGACAGCTGCATTTTCAAGCCCCGGTGAGCGCGTTTACTCAAGGAAGGGGCAGGAGAACTCTTCTAGATGAGGAAACCAAGGCTTGGCCGGGCTTGGGGCCAGGCTCCATGCTGGCCTGATGTTCTGAGCTGCCCTGAGTCTAGAGACGGCTCAGCCCAAGGCCTGCACCGCTCCACGCCCTGCTTCGCTTTGACTCTGGGGCCTCTGCAGTCTGGGCCCCTGGGCCTGGGACCTCAGTTGCTGCAAAGCCCGGACAGTGCCCAGCCGCCTTGGCCGGCGCCTGCGCTGCCCCGCGCTGCGGGCGGGCTGTCCTCCCAGCCTGGTGGGCCTGTGCGCAGCGGGCCTAAGCAGCGTCACTGGCCCTCCGGTGGCGGCCCTGGACCCTCGCCCACCAGCTCCTTCCTGACAAGCATGGTGACCAGCTGAGTCACAGCAGTGACCTCTGGCTGGCTGGGGGGGGGTGCACCTTGTCCCCCACAACAAAGGCTTGGTGTCATCTCCCTCCTTCTCTGTGCCTGGGCAGAGACACGCCTCGAATGCAGGAGGGACAGGTGCGGTGGACTGGGGAAAGATGAGAAGTGGACGAGAGAGATGGAGGAGAGGCGCCGCAGGGCAAGGGCTGGCCGTGCGCGGTGGGGGCGGGGCTCAGGCCCCCAGGGGTGAACCCGGGCTCCAGCTCGGCTCCGCCTTGCGTCCTGACCTTCATGTCAAGGTGGGCGTGGGGGGAATCGGGACTGCTGGACCCAGGATGCTGCACCCACAGACCCCACTCTCTCTGGGGCTGGGGTACCTGTGTGGCACACACCACGGGCTGTGGCGGGCCCTGGGGGTCCCCAGGCCCTGGAAAGGAAAGCCAAGCCCCGGGTGGAACGCTGCCTACGCCCTTCTGTGGAGCTCAGGCCAGGCGGGGCAGGCCTCACACCCTGGCCAAATCTGCCAGGCTGTATGCCAGTGTGCACCTGAGGTCCCTCTGTCCCTGTGGTGGCCGCTCTGGGTCCTCCGCCACCAGGCCACAGCCCCCCACCCCACAGCAGCCAGCAGCCGCCACACCCCAGCAAAGAGCAGGGGCCCTGGAGCCGACCCTGTGGAGCCACATCTCACAGGCCGACTCCACCCAGGCAGACGGGTGCTCCTACCAGGCCTGGGCAGCGGCGGGGGCAAAGCAGCCTGACGACCACCAAGGTGGAGCTGAAAATGGGGGGGAGGGGTGCAGGGCTCACAGTTCCCTCCTCTGCAAGTGTTAATACAGGTGCACTTTACTCACTCCGAGGTGATGTAACAGCCCGCACACAGTTAGTGCCCAATAAATGCCAGTTACAGTCATTGTTCTTACTGTGACTACCAACTGTCATGCACCCAACACCCTTCCACCTCTGGACCCAGGAAGGACAGGAGTCCACTCCCGGGGCCCAGGAGCCTCTCTACTCGGTGGCTGACAATGTGCCAGGCAGCGCCCACCTCAGTGCCTTTGCACTTGCTGTTTCTCTGGTCTGCACCAGCCCTTCCTCAAATATACCCAAGGTTCCTCCTTCCCAGCCCTTCCTTCTTCAGGTCTGCGTTCAAACATCACCTGCCTAGTGTGGCTGCAGCTGCCTGCTCTGTCTCCCTTCTTCCGCCCCAACCCCATTTGCCCTTCCTACTTTGTATTTGGCTACCATTAAGGAGGACAAGGGGCGGGGATTCACTGCCCATCTCCCTATGAAATGCCAACCCCGGTTCTGTCCTGTTTGCTGTTAGTTTTGTCTTGTTAGCTGTTACCTTAATGTACATTGGACCTCGTCTCTCACGTTACAGGTCAGGTCCAGAGAGAAGTCAGGTACTTCTCCAAGGCCACACAGGGAGCGAGTGGACACAATCAGCTAGAGAAGCCCATGAAAAGGAACCTGGAGGAACCAGTCTGGCCAGTCTCAGACTCCCTGTCCCTCCTGGGGAGGGTGGGCTGTGACTGTGAGAGCGTTGTGGAGGACAGCCATGCAGGGGGACAGCGTGGGCAGAGAGGCTGGCAAAGGCGGCTTCGAACCCTTGCTTCAGCTGCAGCCCAGAGCGCAGGACTCACTCCCAATTAACACAGGGCAGACTGGGGGGTGGGGGGGAACTGCAGGCATCCTCTATGGTTGGCCAGGCCTGGGCACCGCAGGGGGCCACATTTCCTTTTCCTAAGGACTCCCGAGTCCTTAGGAAACAGTTGGGGAAGAAGAGGGGCCTGACCCAGGTCACCCCCACTCTCTAAAAACGAGGTTTTTACCTGGAAAGGCTGAGTGTTTGGGGTGTGGACCAGATACCCCAGCAGGTCTGGAAAAACATAGCTTGGGGCTGCCGGGCCGGGCCAGTCTCTGGTGACCTGGGTCCAAACTCTTAAGTGGCCCAAGGTCATCCAGCCAGGATGAAAGACACTACGTGGAGCCCAGGCTGGCGGGGCAGAGGGCAAGGGGGAAGCAGCCTGGGGGTGAGGGGGGGTCCCCAAGGCATGGGCTGCCAGACAGAAGAAAAGCTGTTCGAACGCTGGACAAAGCTGGCGGTGAGGCCACACCGGTAGCTCCGGACACCCGACTCGGGGTGGTCACAGGCGCTTCCTCCAGGCTGGGGAGGGCTCGGGGTAGAGGTTCCCGGGGACCCGGGCGCCCAGCGCAGGGCTGCAAACCGGAGCTGGCTGCTGGGGGGAGGGGGGCACCGGGAGGGAACGGAGCCCAGCTGCCGACCTGGCCCGGTGGTACGGGGTCCGGGAACACGGGGGTGCTCCGTCCTCACGGAGGGTACTGTCCAGACCAACTGAGGCGCGGGCGGGGCGCGGGGCCTTCGGGGGTCTGGAAGGAGGAGGAGGGGAGGAGATCGAGGTCTTCCCCGGACTAACTAGGGTGAGACGCGGGGGGCGCCCGGCCCGGTCTGCAGCCACGCGCCCCCAAACCAGGGCCGCGGCGCGCCCGGGGCCGAGGGCGAGGGGCCCCGGCGCTCCTGACACCCGGGACCACGGGTCCGGCGGGAGCCGAGGCCCGGAGGCTGCGCGGGGCGGCCCGGGGCGGGGTCCCGGGGCGCCGCCGGCGGGCGGGGAGCCGGGGTCCGGCGCCCGGGTCGCGGAGGGCCGCCAGGCCGCTGCAGGCCCGGAGGGGCCCGGGGTCCTACCTGGCGAGTAGAGCGCGGCCAGCTCGCGGGCCCCGGCGTGCTGCGCGCCCCAGCGCCGGCCCGACGCCGCCTCCTCCTCCTCGTCGAGCTCCGGCCGCGGGCCCGGCCCATCCTCGGCGCCCGCCATGGCCTCTCGCCCGGCCCGCCCGGTGCGCTCTGCTGGTGGCGGCGGCGGCGGCGGCGGCGGCGGCCGCCGAACCGCGGCGAGATCACGCCGCCCAATGACCGCCCCGCGCCCGCGCCGCGGGCGGGGCCTCGCGTCACAGCCAATCGGAACCCGCGCCCGCACCGCGCCGGCCAATCAGAGCCCGTGGGCAGCAAGGGGCGGGGCCGCAGCTGGCCGCAGCTGGGCGCGGAAGCGTGGGGCGGTGGCACGTCGTCCCCGCCCCGCCCTCGGCCCCCGGGATTCCAGGCGCAGCGCCATCCTCCTGTGCCTCGATTTACCTGTGGGTGCCACGGGCGGAGGCCCGGCCCGGACGTGGGCGTTGCGCACGCTCGCATCGTTAAGCGCCTACTGTGTACGAGGGAGGGCGCGGGGCTGGACCCGGGAGCGCCCGGCGCGCACTTCGACGATCGACGGTTGTAGCTGAGGAAGCCTACTGTGTGCGGAGGGGCCACCCGACTGTGTGCCCGCCCCGCGCGGGGGAGGACACGGCCGCCGCGGGCACCGGCGGCGCGGGCACCGGCGGCGCGGGCACGGGAGGAAGGAGGGGAATGGAGCGGTGAATGGGATGGGCACTGCGAGCAAATGCGACGTCCAAGTGAAACCCACTACAGTACAACAACGAAAATACACCCGAGGAGTGCTCTACCTCGGGGGCTAGAGGCCCAACATCGAGCCCAAGGACCACTGACTAGCCGGGCCCTGCAAGCCCAGCCCTGGGGAGACCGAGGCCGGGCGCTCTGAGAGGGAGGCCAGCCTCCCCGCGTCCACGGAGCCAAACAAACAAAAGTGACCAATGCCTCGCCGTCCCGGGCAGGCCCCGCCTCCGTGACGTCCCCGGGCAGGCCCCGCCTCCGTGACGTCCCCGGGAAGGCCCCGCCCCCATGACGTCATCCGGCCACCTCCCGGCTTCCCCTGGGCCTGGGACGCCAGTGGTCAGAGCCGCCGTGTGGCGGGAGGGGAGTGGGCCGGGCCGTGCTGCTCCCGGGGAGCCTCGGCCGAGGCTGGGGGACCACAGCCTCCCGTGTGGGAGGACGGAGCCAGGGGTCCGCGGTGTCCCTGCCACTTCAGCCTCCAGCCCGGCTGCCGCTGAGTCCGGCGGTGAAATACACGATCGCTGCCCCGCCCATGCTGTGGCTCCGGTCATTGGGCCCGCTGACCGCGAGGGCTCCAGGCGCCATCTGGTTTTCTTTGAAGAGTGAGGCCTGGATTCTTGGGCAGGCCCTCTGGCCTTTGCTCCCTGGGCAGCTTTGCCTCCGCGGTCCCGGGGGCCTCCTCCCGTCTGTAACTCTAGTCCCTCCAGCGAAGCCCGCTGCTGGTGTCATCTGGACACTGCACGGTTAGATTTTACCCTCTGGGAGCTCCCCTGCTAGCACGGGAGCTCCCGCTTCTAGAAAAATCTTCCCTAGCTAGCTGCTGGAGTCCCAGAGCCACAAAGGGTGTGTGTGGAGGGGGAGGGGGAGGGGCGGTAGGATGAGTAGGGATTTCATCAGTGGCCAGCCCTGGACTGGACAGCTGAGGAACCCATAGACCCAAGATCCTACTCTCTCAGGCCCGGAAGTGTCAGCCTGGCCCTGGTGCTGTTGGGAGCTCTGTGATTTGGGCCAAGGATCCAGCACACCCCACCTACTCGAGGCATAGCTAGGAGATGGGGGTCCAAAATTGGCCCTGTGCAGTAACATGAAACCCCACCTGCAAAACAGCCAAAGCAAAATGGGTTGGGCATAGCTCCAGTGTTAGAGCACTTGCCTAACAAACCCAGGGCCCTGAGTTCAAATCCCATCAGTGGAATAGTAGGCACAAGCTGGGCTCCAGTGGCTCACACCTGTCATCCTAGCTACTCAGGAGGCTGAGATTTGAGGATCATGGTTCAAAGCCAGTCCAGGAAGGAAAGCCTGAGAGACTCTTACCTCCAATAAACCACCGAAAACCAGAAGTGGCTTAACTGGTAGAGCACTCGCCTTGAGCTGAAGAGCTGAGGGACAGCGCCCAGGCCCAGAGGTCAAGCCCCATGACCACCACCAACAACAACAAAGTAGACACAAATGGTTGTGGGAAGGGTCTCTTGCTTTGCTTTTGCTTAAAAATGACCCAGAAAGCCCCTGAGTAGAGCAGGGCAGTGATTTATAGTTTTAAAAACCCACTGATGGCTCACACCTGTAATTCTAGTGGCTCAGGAAGCTGAGATCTGAGGTGGTTTGAAGTCAGCCAGGGCAGGAAAGTCTGTGAAACTCTTATCTCCAGTCAACTCCTCAGTAAAGCTGGAAGTGGTGCTGTGGCTTAGGTGGTAGAATGCTAGCCTTGACCACAGAGAGTCTCAGGGACAGAGTCCAGGTCCCAAGTTCAAGCCTCAGGACTGGCAAAGTAACAACAACAAAAGCCCCACTTGTGTTAGGGAAGACACTGTGAATGCACTGCAGCGGTTGGCCCGGCTGGCAGTGCCAGTCTTTTACTTTCTTTTCTTTGTCGGTCGTGGGGCTTGAACTCTGGGCCTGGGCGCTGTCCCTCAGCTCTTCAGCTCAAGGCGAGCGCTCTACCACTTGAGCCACAGCGCCACTTCCGGTTTTCTGGTGGTTTATTGGAGATAGGAGTCTCACGGTCAGTCTCTCCTGCCCGGGCTGGCTTTGAACCGCGATCCTCAGATCTCAGCCTCCTGAGTAGCTAGGATGACAGGCGTGAGCCACCAGCGCCCGGCTCTTTTACTTTCAACTTGGAGGGCACTGCCATCTGTGTGGGGGCCAGGGCACAGGAGGGATCCTGTCCCGGGGATGTGGCCACAGGTGGGTAGGGGACAGGACAGGGGGTCAGAAGTTGCAAGCCGGAAGGGAAAAGCTGGGGCTTTTAGAACCCGAGCAGGGGGGGCGGGTGGCGTCTCAGGGTGGCCAAGGAGGGCCTGGCGGAGGGGGCCATGGCGCCATGGCGCGGGGGGGCCTTGAAGGCTTGGCCTGGAGGGCGGCCCCGGGGTCTGTGGAGTGGGGCACGGAGCAAGGGGCTGGGCCGGGAGGTCTCCTTGGCTGCGACTTTCCTGCCCCAGGCTGGCTTTGAACCCCGCTCCTCAGAGCTCAGCCTCCCGGGTCGCGGCTGACGGGGTGGGCTGAGCCGCCGAGGTCCGCGGCGGCGCTGTCGGTGGCTGGCCGCAGCCGCGGGCCGCTGGCACCCGGATCGGGCGTGGCCTTGCTGGCCGCCGCCGCCGCCCGGGCGAGGGGCCCCGGGATGTCAGGGTGTCCCAGTGGCGGTGTGTCCGGCCGGGGCCTCGTGCTCCCCCAACCAGCCCCGGGCAATGCCCCGGTCCCCGCGAGCGCAGGAATGCCCGGCGCGCAGCAGCGCCAGCGCTCAGCACCCACCGCGCCTGCGCCGCGTCCCGGCCTCGTTGCTGCGGACCCCAGCGCTCAGCACCCACCGCGCCTGCGCCGCGTCCCGGCCTCGCAGCTGCGGACCCCAGCGCTCAGCACCCACCGCGCCTGCGCCGCGTCCCGGCCTCGCAGCTGCGGACGTCAGCGCTCAGCACCCACCGCGCCTGCGCCGCGTCCCGGCCTGGCTGCTGCGGACCCCAGCGCTCAGCACCACCGCGCCTGCGCCGCGTCCCGGCCTGGCTGCTGCGGACCCCAGCGCTCAGCACCACCGCGCCTGCGCCGCGTCACCGCCTCGCTTTTGCACATCCACCGCGCACGGTGACAGTCAGGACACTTTATTGCTGGGCTGTCTGGATGGGCGGGGGGCGGGCCTGCGTGCCGGGCCCAGCCCCAGGGCAGCGGGTGTGGCCACAGCGCCGGGAGGCGGGGCCCGGCCCACCGCCCAGCCCCTGGCCCGGCCGCGGGGGGCACAGCCCCCACACCAGCACGTCCCTGGCTCCTGGGGTTCCTCCCCCATGAGCGCGAGGACCCCAAGACCCCGCCCGACCCTACGCACACTTGTGCAGTGTCCAGGCAGGAGACCGCTTCGCCCAGACGCTCGAACCCTGCACAAGCCAGCTGCCTGTCGTCCTGGCTGAGCTCTGAGGATCGCAGTTCGAAGCCAGCCCGGGCAGAAAGCCCATGAGACCCTGATCTCCCAGTAACCACCAAAAAGCTGGAAGTGGAATGGTGGCTGCTATCCTGGAGTGAGACAGTCCAGGGCCAGCACCCAGGACCCTGAGGTCAAGCTCCAGGACCAGCGAGGAGGGGGGGAGGGGGAGGAGGGGGGAGGGGGAGGAGGGGAGGAGGGGCTGGGGAAGGAGGGGGGAGGAAAGGGAGGAGGCGAGGGGGAGGAAGAACTGGCCGTTCCCAGGGCTGACTTCGGACTCTCTGGTGACACCTGCTGGTGCAAGGTGACACTGCAGCCAGCGGGGCTAGGTGGGCGCAGTTTCTAGAGGGAGCCATGTAGGGTAGAGGTGGGTACTTTGGGAAACCAGAGGGTGGAGGGAGGGGGGAGGGGGCCGGAGTTAAAAGCACACCTGGGATGGATTCCAGCCTTCTCCCTCCTCTGTGGCAGGCGTGGGCAGGCCTGTGCTCAGCCTCCCCTGCAGGTGACCTGCCCCATGGAGAGTTCACTCCCAGTCCCCTGGCGGCTCGCTGTGTACCAGGGAATCAAATGGAATCTGAGTTGGTTCTGTGTGAGTGACCACCTAGGGTGCCATCTCCGTGAATTCTCCCATTCTCTTCTGTGTAAACACTGGCATCCAATTAGCGTTCTCTAGAGTAGGGCTGGGCTTGGAGACTGGCTTCTGATAGCGGAGGATTGCAGGCATAGGCTTCGCTGGCTGCCCAGGACCAGGCCTCAGGCACAGATGCCGCCACCCCGGAAGCCACGGCCACACACAGCTCTGCAGCACCCACGAAACGTGGCAGCCAGGTGGGATGAAATGCATGGAATTCCCACAGGATATTAAAGGCAGTGTGGGACTCTCAAATGTCTCACATGACGTGCGTGGTCATCGCAAAAAAAAACTTAGGTTTAGTGGCTTCATAAACTCAAACTCAATTTCAACCTTTCTTTTTAATAGTACCTGGATTTGA